TGTATTATACAATGACTGATTGCTAGGTCACATGAAACATTAGAGAAAGGCAGTGTGAAATACGTCTTATATACACCAGAACTGAAACGCAATGAATGTTATGGTGTTATCATGGTTATCTAGAGGTGAGATAAGTGGTACTATTTCCTTGAGACAAACAAACCACTTTGTTAAGGGCTACAGTGTTGCTGTTACAGACAGGCTAGATGTGGAGTGGCGGCGCTAGACAGGTGTATGTGACAAACCAGGCGTGTATCAATATGGAGCTATTGTAGTCGACATATGACCTTTGTAAATAACTGTGTACTACAAGTTGTATAGAGTTATTCTCATAGAATGGCATACGGTCAGGTTGACACCGGGGATATGAGGAGTGCTTCTGGTAGGTCCCAAGTCAGTTTAACGTCACAGTTTGAAGGAGTGCCTTAAATTTCAAGTGTTATTTAACATATCATAACTCTCTTGAGTGAAATTGAAGTATGATTTGGTTTGGCATAAGTGAAGCAGTAGTAGTTGGTGTATGCTGAACAACATGTTTGGTGAAAATTGATATTTTTATTACTATTATTTGATGATGGTTATGAGGTTTCACACTCCTTCAAAGCATTGGATACACTGTTTCTCTGGATATGTAATAATAATTTTTCAACTACCCTGGCCAGAAAATGCACAGTTTCTTTTTGTACCCCATATATTCGGCTGATGAAATTGACCAACACTTTGCACCTTCTTTGTACTGATACAGTGTCAGTTGAGATGCTACTTAAAACACAAGACTGAAAGTTGTCATGGATGTTACACCGGCCACAATGCTGAAGTGCTTTACGATGTTTATAAGCACTACAGATTTACATTTACAGTTTTTATGTAAAATTCCATGACAATTGTTCAAATAGCTTCTGACCAAAGGGATTGTTGTGTTAAACGGCACTACGATCTAGTCTGACTTGAAACAGACGCGCCACTGATGGCCTCATCTCCAACATGTAATCTCTGTCAGGAAAGTAGTATGTAATTGTTTGATTGACAAGTTCCTGTCTCTGAGAGCAAAAGGTGTGAATATTTGATTTCATCACATTACATGAAAATGTAAATCTGTGCTGCAATGCATGGCTTGTCCCAATACTGATATGTCACTGTCATTAGGGTTGACCTTACGTGACTTTGAATTTGGAAAATGAACCTGTAGTTATTTTGAAATATTCCAGGGACAGTGAACAATGTTATTGTGTACAGGCATGCTGGAGCAGGTGTTGGTTTTGTTGCACTGCGCTGTTATATTTTTAACTGTGAAATGAAATCGAGTTTTGATGTACATGACACTGTCTATGGTTAAACCTAATATTAGAGATGTAATAATTTCATCAGGGATTAGAGGAAACTTCCCCCATCATGGCCATGGAGATTGTCAGTGGGCATCTGTCAAAGTCACTTTGTTTGAAATGTTTTTGCTTCCCAATAACTGAATATAAACAAACAAAAATAAACCTTTATGATTACTAAATTGTATTCTAGTTCGAAAGTCATGTTATTCTTATATCAGTTTACTATGTGACAAAATCTTTGTCTTAAACTAGTGAAATAAAACTTTTCTGTTTCTGTAATACATCGATCACTTAAATCCAAAGTCTTTTTAATGTTGCTTGGCTGATTAATAAAAGACCATACATATACTACTGTAAATTATTCTGTTACCTGTTCATGACCTAGGCTTGTCTGAGTATATGGTTAGAAGAAGCACCACAGGCATTCCCAAACAGATGAGCATAAGGGTAGCTTCTTGTGTTCACACTTTAAAGTCCCATAATCCTCCAGGTAACCATGGTAACCTACTGTGTCTTTACGTAATACCATTATAATGTAGCTTGGCTTGGCCTTTGATTAGATAAGTGTCAGGACAGTAAACAAGGTGTATTTTACAATAAATGTGTAACATCAATCAAGGACCTTGATTTGACTGGATGTCTACTGATGTGGGAAGAATGCATGAATTGTATTGTCCCTGTCCAGTGTAATCCTGTGCCTCCAGCGGGGACCTTCACCTGGGCTCATTGTCTAGTGAACAATTAAAACAAAGGTGGGACAAATACCACAATCACCTGGCAGCTTTAACCACTTCCTCAATTCTCACCTGGAGAAAAGTGTTGTTACTTGCTGTCAGTTAAAGTGTTACCTGGAATCTGTGGATGAGTGTAGGTCACAGTCTTCAGTGTTTGAGGACAAGGGTCAGGAAATGACTTGAACATTTGGGTGTACAGCTATTTTACACCATGAAAGGCATGTGCTGTATATTTTAAAGACAACCTTTTCTGTTTGAAAACTACTTTGCCTTAGATGCACTGTGTGCAGTTTTAGTTGAATTGTCAATTAATTAAATCACTTTATGAGAGACGATATAATGCATATGTAGCAGCCTGTGGTGTATTCTTTACCTATTTCATATTGTTTAACTTTGTAATTTGGCCTCCCATTTAAAATTCCCTTAATACTCAGGTTTTTTTGTTTGTTTTTATATATTTTTGTGTGTAGTAACACCACTCTTTCAAAATTTATATTTTTTGTTCCCCCTCTTTTCTTAATAAGTGTACTACCTTGTCGCCGAAATACCTTAGTTGTGCGTGCGACGCTAAATAAACCCAATAATAATCATCATCCCACTGATGACATCCTTACCTTGTCAGCAAGTGACAGAGTTAACCTCTTTGGTCATGTAGACAAGGCATCTGACTTCAGATCAGAAGTTCTGTGGTTTGAATCCCAGCATGGGACTCAGACATTTTATGGCTGCTACACACATTATAAATATTTTAAAGTGTAGCTTGAATAAGAACAAATGCTGCACTTGACTCTAATAGGATAACTGACCTATATTTGTTCTTCAACTGTTTGGTAAATGTATAACAAGCATCACCTTGTTTGCTTCTCAATTAATTGTCAACATTTCTTTAAGATATTTTCAGGCAAAATGTTCTGTCACTGTGAGGAAGCTTTGGTTTAACACCTTTGGTGAAAGTCCTTCAAGTGCAGATCATGTTTTGCGAATGTATTTCCTAGGTAGGTGTTGATTCAGACAACAGTTGGATGTTGACGCCATAAGAGCAACCTGTAGATCTAACAGCCCAGTATTTAGATGTCTGGTTCATGTTGATACAACATTTAGTTACTGCACGTTTAAATGTTTTCATAAGTGGGAAATATTTAGGTCTAATATTATTTATGGTTGTGTTAGAGAAAAGGGTGTAAAGAGATGTAAATCTGTTTTGCTCAGACAAATATGATGAGGATGAAGGTAAATATTTTGTAGCAGAGAATGGGCTGGTTGTGTGCTGACAATGCCAGCTGACATCATGGTGCAGTGGTTCACTTGTACCGGTTGGGGATCTGGGAATCATCACATGTTTTCTGTGATTTATTGAATAATGAGATATGATTGGGATCAAATTCTTTCTGTGATAGAGGTATGATTAGGAACAATGAATATTGTCTGTGATAGAGGTATGATTAGGAACAATGAATATTGTCTGTGATAGAGGTATGATTAGGAACAATGAATATTGTCTGTGATAGAGGTATGATTAGGAACAATGAATATTGTCTGTGATAGAGGTATGATCAGGAACAATGAATATTGTCTGTGATAGAGGTATGATTAAGAGCAATGGATATTGTCTGTGATAGAGGTATGATTAGGAACATTGGATATTGTCTGTGATAGAGGTATGATCAGGAACAATGAATATTGTCTGTGATAGAGGTATGATCAGGAACAATGAATATTGTCTGTGATAGAGGTATGATTAGGAACATTGGATATTGTCTGTGATAGAGGTATGATCAGGAACAATGAATATTGTCTGTGATAGAGGTATGATCAGGAACAATGAATATTGTCTGTGATAGAGGTATGATCAGGAACAATGAATATTGTCTGTGATAGAGGTATGATCAGGAACAATGAATATTGTCTGTGATAGAGGTATGATCAGGAACAATGGATATTGTCTGTGATAGAGGTGTGATTAGCAACAATGGATATTGTCTGTGATAGAGGTGTGATTAGCAACAATGAATATTGTCTGTGATAGAGGTATGATTAGGAACAATGAATATTGTCTGTGATAGAGGTATGATCAGGAACAATGAATATTGTCTGTGATAGAGGTATGATTAAGAGCAATGGATATTGTCTGTGATAGAGGTATGATTAGGAACATTGGAATATTGTCTGTGATAGAGGTATGATCAGGAACAATGACTATTGTCTGTGATAGAGGTATGATCAGGAACAATGACTATTGTCTGTGATAGAGGTATGATTAGGAACATTGGATATTGTCTGTGATAGAGGTATGATCAGGAACAATGAATATTGTCTGTGATAGAGGTATGATCAGGAACAATGGATATTGTCTGTGATAGAGGTATGATAAGGAACAATGAATATTGTCTGTGATAGAGGTATGATTAGGAACAATGAATATTGTCTGTGATAGAGGTATGATCAGGAACAATGAATATTGTCTGTGATAGAGGTATGATTAGCAACAATGAATATTGTCTGTTTCTGCTTTTCAATATATTGGTATTCGCAAACTCTACAAACGATTACAAAAATGGTAAAGCAATACGTTTGTTGATGGAATGACCTAATGCAAATATATTGTGTCCAATTGTTCTTACACATGAGCTAAATTATATGTTTACACAATGAAATGTTAATACATCAGTAATGAACAAAAACCTCAAAACCTGTTCCATAATCGGAAGCTTTATTCAGTACTCCCAACACTCCTGTGGAAGGAAACCAACACCATATGTTCCGTGTGTTCATATAGCACTGATATTATTCAACATTATCAACACATGTCCAGCCATGGAAGACTGGTCTCTATACATGCTATTGTTCAGTTCTTGAACAGAATTTAATAAAATAACAATAACCGTAGTTCCACTTGTTCAATGTAAGACTGGAGGGTTTACAAGTTTTTGTTTTCTTTCAGGTCCAGGGCATAACCATGACCTTCATACAAGGTCGTCTGGCGGCAGCAGTGGTGGCAGTCGTAGCAGCACTCACAGTGACATCATCAACCAGCTCGGAGAGGTGGCAGATGTACGACAGTATCTCACAGTTGATGTAAGTTGTGTGCATCATTCAAATCATAATGTGCAGTCAGTTTTGAATATGTACGGAAGCAGATTCCATTCTGCATTAAAGGCAAAATAGTTTGGATACCTAGCCTTCAGCTCCTGGCTGCATCCTGGTACACTGATAGAATGGATCAGTGCTCAAGCTATCGACCTCAGGTTTGTGTTGCTAAGGATACTGAATACAGGTATACATGTTACTGTGATGTGGCTGGATGTGTTCAGACTAGCATATAATCACATTCACTCACTCACTAAACTGGAACCAATACTTGCCACTTCTTATCATTTACACCGGCATAGAATTCTTACAGAGGATGATCTCAGACTTCTAATGACACAATTTCAAATTTTACATTCCTAGATTTATGTCAGTCTGGACAAAATGTCAGATTGAAATTAAAAGCGAAATATTTAAGTTGTGAAATATGTCTGACTCATCATATTTGACAGGGAAGCAGATATATTATGGTCCTCAGAGACTTACCGAGTGATAAATATAGCATCTCCACGTCATACTGCGTGGCAAGTGAAAGCACAGTGTGATGACACACTTAAGGAAACCTCTTTGAATTTAAGGGAAAAAGAAAAATGTACAAATATCGTTGACGGTAGAGTAAATGATGAACTAGTGTTCCAGATGACATATGATATTTCTCACGGAGCTTCTTTGTGAGAGTTGACAGACAGGAAGCCCAGTTGTTGGTGTTACATTAATGTTCAGTGACACCAAACAGATCTTGAATGATTTCAAACATAATGTGTAACAATGGCTTGAAACAATATTTTAACCAAACACCAAACTTTTTTCTTTTATTTCATATAACTGTTTAACAATGTGTTACTTGAAACTGAAAATAAGGGAAAATATTCAACCTAACCAAATGATACAAATTGAAACCATGAACATCTAGTGAGACCACAAATATACAAATATAGTACAAAGTGCACCCAGATGATATATAGGTGCCCACAGACAATCTCCCCAGCAGGAAGTATAACCCCTGGTGTGTGTCAGTATTCTAGTAGGTCGGCCTGCATCGTGGCGGGGGTAGTGTAGGATTAACTCATTCAGACCCAACACTAACACCAGTGATGTAGGTGTTGTCAGCCTTGACAAGGTATTGCTTCAGTGTAAAGGTTCCTGACTCACTCGTCTGGGACTGGAGACTCTGTTGGGACATGTATACTGCTCAAATGAAGATAAGGAACACCTGATTCTTTGTTTAAGGGATAACTATTGTGTTATAAAAGGGTGAAGTGCTCTTTAACTTCTGTTGGGTAGTATCTGTTATGGATAAAAATAGTGATTATTTGTCATGGTCACTGAAAGTTGTCTACCTACCTGCGGAACCGATACATGTCTGTAAGTATGAGTACTGTCAATGTTTAGCACATGGTCTTGTCTGATGAGGCATCTAGCCATGTTAATGGTTGTTAGAGCAATGTGTGTGTTTACAGAAGACAGATTGGTATTTAGCCTATGTGAATGATCTCCATTCATGTATGTTCAATTATCATCACAAAAATACAGTAAGATTTACAGAATCTACAGATCTAGAAACAGTTATCTAGTAGCATAATTGAATGACATGTGTTTAAGAACATAGGAACAAATTTATGGAGATGTTAATTCAATCAATTGAGGAGAAATATGAATTATTTTCAGTATAGGAAGGAACCCTTTTAGTAACACAGAAATAGTGAAAAACAGGAATATGTTTGTATTTAAAGCTAGTGTGTCATCTACAGATTCACAAGCACTATAATGAGAATGGTTTTGATTCTTTTGTTGATCAACCTCTACTGTTTATATAGGATACAATTTTCTTTTCATTTAGTTTTGTAATGGCACACACAGCCAGTTTACACCCATGTGACAGCAGTATGTAAATCATTGAGATCACACAATCCAGTGATTGATGTCATGAGCATCGATCCACACATACGGGTTAAGATGGCATGCAGTCACCAGGCCTGACCACCCAATCCATTTAGTCTCACAACACACAGGGGACTTTTAATATTATAATGGATCCCCACAATCCTGTGGTCAGAGAAAGGATTTCTAAAACTTTAAGAGACCAAAGATAGATTATGCTGGAATAAAATCGTTTTTGAACGACAAAACACAACCTTTCATTGACACCGACAGTACCTAAGGACAATCAGAACACAAAGACATTGAGGAAGCCCTTCAGTAACAGACCTGACTTCTGATGAAGGACTCGAGATATTCCTATAGTAATGAGTGGTTGGTATGACCAGCAGTGTGAACTGTATTGATCCGATGGGAGGGCTGGTCACAGTGACCTGGTGACCAGGAATTAGGGGGTGAGGGGATTCTGTGATAAATCAATCCTGGAGTGCCTGATGCCCTGCTAATATTCTCCTATCATGCAATATAGGACGAATCACTGCCATGGCAATTATGTAATCTTGGCTCAGGAACTAGTGCAGTGTTAGGGTATTATTACTGATGGTGGACTGGTGATATCATAGAAGGGTTTTGGTGTGTAAATTGCAGATATATCACAAAGGAATTACATACCTTCACATGATTCACCTCGAAGTTATTGTGTTCTTTTATTAAAGTCCTTTGTCCAAGATGCAAGTTCGAAAATGAAAACAAGAATAGTTTTTTAAAGTGTGAAAAAGAAGAGTCAAGAGAAACGTCTTCTTGGGCTCGTCTTCTTGGTTAACTCTGACACTCTGATTGGGTGGTTCTGTACCCAATACCCAGACTAATGATTAGTCGCGTGACATATTGTTTCATGACAAGATTTCACTGTAGCTCCATGGTAACATTGGAGGGTGGACTTGTCCTAGCCCTAGTATCTTTAATCAACCACATTTACATTTGTTATTTTTTTCTTCAATCAACCACATTTGCATTTGTTATTTTTGTTAACGGTCACAACATTTATCATGGTATCATTCAGGAATCAAGAATGAATAATGTTTGTCAAGCATTGTTGGGAATCAAACCTGACAAACACAGCAACTACTGAGTTATCTCCCTTTAATTTGAGTGTGATTTACATATCTGTGGAACAACTGTGATTTGTCTGTTCCTGTTCAAGCCTGGAGTCTACCAGGAGAGATAGCATGCTTGTCCTGTTAGCCTGTCTGACAATGTGAATTCTTTGATCAATCACCCGGTATCTCCAAGTGTCCCTAACTGATGTTTTACCACACAACTGACATTACCTCCACAGCCAACCCAGCTTTATGTCTGACAGCATTACTTTAAACCGAAGAGAACAATAATCATTTAATATGCTCTGAGCCTATCTTGTACACATCAAAGGCTAATAATTCAATGTGTAAGATCTAGAATGTCATGATTTAATGTACTTGTATATTGAACACTGGGCAAGGTGTCAACCACTAAGAGCAAGCATGGTCACCTGAACCACAAGATCTGCCTACAGTAAGATATGAGCAATCATTTCAAACTGGTTGAGAGCAATCAGATGTATGCATATAAATGATAAGCAGATGTACTCTTCAAACCTTCTGTTGTACGACATAGTGGCAGTTAAATAATGTCCCCATTTTTTTAGTAATAGGCTTATGTGATATATTTTGTTAAGCTTATTCCCCGGGGATCGGTACATTATGTGGCTTAAGACAGTACACATAGGATGAAATTCTCCTCAGAACTGTTGACAGTGTTTCTGTTTCTGACTGACAGTGAAGCGCTGCAAATGACTGGGATGGAGATGTCAGGTTGTTCTTTGTAACAATATTGCAAATTTGTTATCATTTCAACATGATCCAATAGGTTCCTTGGCATTATAGAAGGATTATGTTAAAATAACTTTCTTGATGTTTATGAGTGTTTTGTAAAGGAGTCTGTATAACTGTTGTGGTGCAGGTATCTGAAGATGACGGTGGAGAGAGTGACACCGGCAGTATAAACACCATGACAGAGTCAGAGTCACAGCTGTCTTACGGTAGACAGGTCGGAGCCATCAGGAAAGCAGGGTGAGTACCTTGGTCTGACGGATCTCTGTGTCACAGCTGTCTTACGGTGGACAGGTCGGAGCCATCAGGAAAGCAGGGTGAGTACCTTGGTCTGACAGATCTCTGTGTCACAGCTGTCTTACGGTGGACAGGTCGTAGCCATCAGAAAAGCAGGGTGAGTACCTTGGTCTGACGGATCTCTGTGTCATTGTTGTCCTATGGTAGACAGGTCGGCGATATCAGGAAAGCAGGGTGAGTACCTTGGTCTGACGGATCTCTGTGTCATTGTTGTCCTATGGTAGACAGGTCGGCGTTATCAGGAAAGCAGGGTGAGTACCTTGGTCTGACGGATCTCTGTGCCATTGTTGTCCTATGGTAGACAGGTCGGCGTTATCAGGAAAGCAGGGTGAGTACCTTGGTCTGACGGATCTCTGTGTCATTGTTGTCCTATGGTAGACAGGTCGGCGTTATCAGGAAAGCAGGGTGAGTACCTTGGTCTGACGGATCTCTGTGCCATTGTTGTCCTATGGTAGACAGGACAGAGCCATCAGGAAAGCAGGGTGAGTACCTTGGTCTGACGGATCTCTGTGTCATTGTTGTCCTATGGTAGACAGGTCGGCGTTATCAGGAAAGCAGGGTGAGTACCTTGGTCTGACATTACCGTACACACTTGTAAAAACATTTCCTTTTTCATGTTCTTAATCAGGATTCATGAATTTGTATTCTTTCACCATTGATGGCCTCTTTCTCCAGATGTACACTGAATGACTATGCAAACAAAAGTAATATTTCAAAGTCACTCATTTTCAAAGAATGCATACTTCTAATATTTACAATTCATAATATTTCACATAAATATGAATGAAAACTCTAATCCTGTTGCCAGGATACTGTTGTTAGGATACAATAATTATTGCAAGTAATGTTAATGTGTATGTATGTTGACTGTCGGTGTAGATGGCTTGTAGTAAAGAACTGGCTTGTCCACAAAAAGAAGAAGATAGAACTGGCAGCGTGCCGGAACTGGAGACGGTACTGGATGTGCCTGAAGGGAACTACCCTGTTGTTCTTCGATTGTGACGAGGGCAGCACTGTCAACCAGAACAGCGTCCCGAGACATATACTAGGTCAGTCATACATACACTACGTGTTGTATACAACAGATGGACATTTGTTGGTCAGGCTGTGTTGAAAGCAGCAGCCACTGAATTAGATGATCAGAAATATTCGGTGTTCAAATCTCAGGAGCGTTCATACTTGTGTCTCTACAGGCAGGGATAAAAATCCTATAATTAATTTGTTATGGTTTTAATGTCATGGTGTGAAGTATTTCCAGTGTATAACATTCTTCTTGCTTGTCTGGTTACAGTTATTGAAGGAGGTATTGCCCAGGCTGTACCCGAACACCCAAAACGAGACTTCATCTTCTCTCTCAGCACTGCATGCGGTGATGCATACCTTCTGCAGGTGAGCAACAGGACATAGTTACAGTGTTGCAGGGCCTCTGATTTTCATTTGTTGACTGAAGAATCTAATTAACATTTTAACTGCAATTAGTGGTGAAACACCTTTTGACGTTGCCAGATTTTCCTCTGAAATTCGGTGTTGTCCAAGGAAGGTAACTCTTCTGTCAGTGGTCATCTGAGGAGCCAGCTCCAGCATGTGAGGTCATGTAGTTGATGCTGTCCTGGATCCTAGGAAGGAGACATTAAATGTCCTGGATTTCATCAATTAGAACCCATTCACATATTAATGCCATTGATCATGATTAATTTTCTGTCATCATTATGCCTTTTATTTTAGGATACGATTTATAAATCAATCATTCACAGAGTTACGTAAGCTGATTAGCAATTGGTATCATCAGTGTGCATCTGTATGTAGCATGTTGCCACAGTGCCACCAATAAATCAGATTTGCTACCGGAATCTTCCATAACTGACAATTGATCATTGTAAGTTTGATACCCCTGCATGTGTTGCCTCTCAATGCCAGAACTGATTCAAACATCTCACTCTGGCATGCAAACACACAGCCATAATCTATTTGAGATATATTTAAAAAAGAAAACTTGCTGCACAAGTCCCTGAAATGCTTCTGAATACACATGGTGCTAGATTGATTTAATACAGCACATCATCGACACGACAACCTCCCCCCAACACACACACACACACACATCTAGACAAACCTGTAAACTTATTCATTCAAACAACGCTGTCCTAGGTTGAATCTTCTCTGTTTAACACCAGTTAGAAGAACATGTGTTGGCCAGGAGCATTTGCTTGGTAAATGGAATCTGGTGCAATATAGATAGACAGTCCCACCGTTGCAAATTGCCAAGAGTTGAGGATTTGATCTCAGAAGACACAATGATGAGGCTCTATTTCTCACCCAGAAACATTCTGCCAGCTCTTTAAACCATTGTCTTGAGCATCAAGTACAACCAGCCAGCATGTGTGGAAGAGAATAGTGATGTCACTTGACTATGATTTGTCACAATAATCAGTGATGTCACAGTGATCTCCATTGTTCTGCAGTCCCATGACGTGAAACTCCCAGGACATGTGGATGCAGCAATATCTCCTATGGAGCTGATTTAGATGATAAATGGGTGTACTATCAAATTCTGCAAGAACCAAATGCTTTGTTGAACTGACTTGGTTTAAGTTACACTGTCAATATATAATAAATAATAAAACTTTATGATATTTAAACGAGGCTTGTTTTCATGAAAATGTATGGAAAAATATGCTAATATATTTCTAAATCGTTAATGGCTATCCCTGTTCAACAACACAACAACAGGTTATAAAAACAACCAATTATTTTTCAGTGCTTAACTAATTTCACACTTGGAAAGATATGCTACATCAGCACTCTCGAACAATCCAGTTCTACAGCTGTGGATTCAAAATTCTCCATGCATGTCATTTAGACAATGGTGTCAGAAGCATGTCCAGGAAAGTCTCACAACATGTCAACGATTTCAAATGTTATGGAGATTCTGTTTATTTAAGTGCTTAAATTGACGTCTCTGATAGATAATTTGGTAACCGTCTGATGTCCCCTGGGGACCTTGGTTAGGTTGTTTAAAAAATGTTCAAAGCAGTGTTAAACCCAATGCACTCATTTATTCAGTCAAGTCAATGAATCAGAAATAGTTTATCTACTTGCTGACTTTGAAACAGAATGTGTGGTAGTTCGATAGAACTGTTACTGGCAGTGCAATATACCTCACCTGCACTGCATGTTGGGGGGTCAAGAGCTTTGAAGTTCATTTTATGATGTTTTAGTTTGTCTGAGTTTGAGTTTGAATCCTGTTCTTCACAAAACAAATTTCTGCCCTTTTCTAACCGTCTCCGTTGTGTAGTGGCTAGAGCGTCCGCCTGGAGAGCGGCCACGTCATACCAAAGGACGTTGAAATATGGTACCGGTACTTGTTGGTCCGTGCCTGCATTAATGGGTACAACAAGGACTGGTCGACTCAGAGTCAGTATAATGTGTCTGAGTTGGGTGTTCATGCTTAACTGTGGCGTGGTATCTCAGTGAGATAGCACTATAAGACCAGCTTAAATCTGGGCTAGTACAAGCAGCCACACATACACACGCATGCACGGCGCCATATGAGCGAAATAATCTTAAGTGTGATGTTAAACCCCATTTCACCTCACCTTCCGCCCTTCCCTAGGCCTCCTCCCAAAATGACCTTGAGAACTGGATTCGAGCAATCCACTCTGCCTGTGCTTCATCCTATGCTCGGCAACATGGGAAGGACAATACTCTGAAGCTATTGAAGAGCGAACTCCTCAAGCTGGACTCCAATGTAGATATTGTAAGTAATAGTGTTGTCATCATTGTCAGTGTTTGTCTGGAACCTTTAATCCTGGAACCAGACCTTCAGGACTTGAGTTATTCATCTACAAGGGCTCCCAGGAAATGTGCTGATCAGAATTACCATCCAGATTGGTGGGATTTTATTGATGTTGAGAATACAGAATAGTTAGCAATTTACCTTAACAAATGTCACTGGAAGAAACATGTCAGAAATAGAAGGAACGGTGTTGTTAGAGACCAATTTGTGATTGTAGAGCATATACTTGACTAAGACACCACTTCCTGTTTTCCTCGCCCACAGGAAGAGAATTAAGTTGAATTGAATGATGTCAATCACATTCATTTGAATGGAGTTTCTGGGAAGGCATTATTTAAACTGTGTGATCGTTATTCGCCAGGATGTGAAAATGAAGAAAATGGCAGAGCTTCAGATGACTGTGGTGTCTGACCCAAGGAGCCGGGTCGCCATCGCGAAGCAGATTGCCCAGTGGGAGGAGAACCTCGAGAAGCTATACATCGAGCAGTACCGTCTTCGCTGCTATGTGGCATCCTTGCAGGGGACAGAACTCCCAAACCCCAAGGTCAGTCACTAAAACTCTTTGAAAAATGTTCTTTGATAATTTGAATCTAGAGTATACTATTGATTTCAAGAAAGGATTACAATTGTTTAGAAAGGGTTTGCAATGGTTGATAATGGTTGAGTTAAGTCATGAACATCAGTAATTGAAGGGATATATGTAACTATGTACTTATAGTTGAAGGCACCATACTGACCAAATCTGCAAACACCAGGTGTATTAATATTTATCAAACACATTTTCCCAATGTTAGATTGGGACAATGTCACTGTTTTTACACGACTTTGAAATGTGTGCTTGTTTGGTTTCTTTGAATGGACGAGTCTTTTGTAAGAGACGGCTGTTTATTGAAATGATGAGAGAGGAATGACCCACTGGCTTACATTTATCTATACTAGTTTGAATTTGTGGGAGCTGAAAATACAAGCGGACAATGCACTGTATTGATTTGTGAAAACCATAAGATTGGACTTGGCATGGACGGACTGGGCCTGATTAGAATTTCCCAAAGGTGTCATTGATTCTCAGGCAAGTCACTGCATGTTGATAGGACAATATTTATGATTTTGTTTATTTTGATCCAGAAAGTATTGCTGGCATATTTGCAGGTACTCCTTGCCAATGCTTCGAAGGCCACAAAGACCACTCTGGGCCGTCTGGGGATCTTCACTGTCACATCGTTCCATGCTCTGGTCTGTGCCAGGAAACCTCTGATACTGCCAAACATCTATGGAAAGGGGGCCCAGAAGGGAGGCATGTTGTCGCCCAAATCTGACACGCTTCAAAAACCAAGGTCAAGGACACCCACAGCTCTGATGGGCGCTGGCGTCAGCACAGAGTGAGATATATTCCTATATTTACAACCATTTTATGCGTTTTATAGCAGTTAATGAACTTAAAGGTACTAAATTTGGTTCGTAGTAACCATAGTTTGTTCTACTCATTTCAACAAAAATATTCAGTTCATATTCATGACCAGAAACGGTGCTTTATATCTGTCAGTCTCCTATAAGTGTGCTCATTGTAGCAAGTGTACTGTATAGAAAGATAGAACTAGACACTACTGATGGCATCATATTCATGACCAGAAACGGTGCTTTATATCTGTCAGTCTCCTATAAGTGTGCTCATTGTAGCAAGTGTACTGTATAGAAAGATAGATCTAGACACTACTGATGGCATCATATTCATGACCAGAAACGGTGCTTTATATCTGTCAGTCTCCTATAAGTGTGCTCATTGTAGCAAGTGTACTGTATAGAAAGATAGATCTAGACACTACTGATGGCATCATATTCATGACCAGAAACGGTGCTTTATATCTGTCAGTCTCCTATAAGTGTGCTCATTGTAGCAAGTGTACTGTATAGAAAGATAGATCTAGACACTACTGATGGCATCATATTCATGACCAGAAACGGTGCTTTATATCTGTCAGTCTCCTATAAGTGTGCTCATTGTAGCAAGTGTACTGTATAGAAAGATAGATCTAGACACTACTGATGGCATTCATCTTTATATCTGTCAGTCTGTCCTATAAGTGTGCTCATTGTAGCAATGTACCAGACACTGCTGATGGCATCATTTTATATCTGTCAGTCTCCTATAAGTGTGCTCATTGTAGCAAGTGTACTGTATAGAAAGATAGATCTAGACACTACTGATGGCATCATATTCATGACCAGAAACGGTGCTTTATATCTGTCAGTCTCCTATAAGTGTGCTCATTGTAGCAAGTGTACTGTATAGAAAGATAGATCTAGACACTGCTGATGGCATCATATTCATGACCAGAAACAGTGCTTTATATCTGTCAGTCTCCTATAAGTGTGCTCATTGTAGCAAGTGTACTGTATAGAAAGATAGATCTAGACACTGCTGATGGCATCCGGCAACAGCACTGGGGTTAGCTGGGTCATCTTCAAACAACGTAGGAGGTTTTATACATCAAAACCAAATAAGGAGACCTTTCTTGATCTGCAAATACTGATAGCGATAGTAACATTATGACACAAAACTTTGTGTGATATGTCAATTTTGATATTTGGACATGAAAGACATTATGCCTCGAAAAGTGCAATAGTTATAGAATCTGGATTCTTTTAAAGTGTCATGCTTATCAGTTTATCTGCAAACCTAGACTTGCTTACAGTCTAGCGATACACACAAGTCTGTTGCCCACATTGTACTGTGCTACCTGGTTAGTTGACCTTCTATATCTGCAAGTGTAGCCTGTGAAAATTCAGGTTACAATGGGTCACCAGCAAGCCATACTTGGGATAAATGGGATTGGACAGTGGTCCTCGCTTACTTGGTCGATGCGTGTCATTGTATTCCAATTGTGCACCTCTGGTCAATCACTGGATTGTCTGGGCTAGACGCTGTCTTATAGCTGGAATATTGCTGAGTAAAGGGTTACATGACAAACAGGCAAGTGTGGGTGAGTGCAATCAGGAATTATTGTTTATAGACCAAACTTTTAAAGACAAATTCATGGAATACATTTTGAATGTATGGAGACATAATGTGCCAGATGGTATGTATCTATTAGGATGCAGCACAGTATATAGGAAGGACATGCAGAGGAAGAACTATTTTTAATTAAGTATGAGAGCATGTTAATGCCATGGTACAGTTTTCATCATACTTTGCGAACAACTATCCTAAGTGTTAATATCTCCCATTTTTTGACATCGCCTTACAATAGTCGTACCACTAACATTGCTTTGTAGAACAGTAAGGCTCTGTGATAAGATGCTGGTATTTCTGTGAAAAAGTGTGACAGTCATTTCCTTTGGTTTGTGGATCAAGACCCAGATCCTCATGGCTCATGGCTATTTTGATTTCAAAGCCGTCAATATTCCTGTAGATATTATATTATTCCCCAAACAAACAAAAATTCCCAATGTAAAATAATTTTCTTTAGAATATTCCGGCAGTCGTCTTTTCTTCCTGCTGAGTCAGTTACATTTCAGCAATTATAAAAAATCTAACCAGATCGATACAGTAAGGGAGATAACTCTTTGACTTGTCATTCAAATTAACACTTCAAACAGCCCATTTCTTTCATGTTCGTTTTGTAGCCCAACCTATGACCACACTTTTAAAAGATTGCTCTAAAAACATGTTACATTTATATATTTTTATTCCAATCACCGATCCAAGTTAAAAATATATGTCTATGAAGCCGGAGGAAAATGGCCTGACGCAATGTAAGTTTACTGTGTCTGGTTTACAGGGCTGTGTTCAAAACGGGTAACAGCGAGCGACTTCTGTCAGATTCCATGGACAACCTGACGGAGAAGTCACTCTGTGACAGCAGCCAGGGCACCGAGAGTCTCTCCAGGGTCATGTTGCCTAACAACCAGGTATTACACTTCTCTCACCTGTCTTATCTCTTACCTGTAATCTTCTCACCTGGGGCACAAGGTTACCTTTATTTATACTCTGTGTGAAATAATAGTTTGTCATATTTAGTGCTTGACGTTTCTAGTCAGTCTAACAAGATGCTTTGAGTGTACGCTATAAACAGAACTGAACAAGACAATTGGTTGTTTATGTTAATGCTTGATGTAAATGTATTATTTCCTGACATGTTAGCATGAGATTGCTCACCATGCACAGAAATATGTGTTATGTTTTGATACAGCATCAATAAATACAAATTGTTTTGATTTTCATGATTCTGCAATATTTTCTTCCAGACGATATAAACAATCATGAGAAAACTGTGTTTGGATGTACTTTCAATATTCCTGAACTTGTAGTGTAGTTTTTCCCGCATTCTCTCATGAAGTGTCTGACCCCCATCTGGATCCTGGTGTTCAATACATTTCAAATTAGATTTGATTACTAAATTTCATGTAGATAGTGTTTATGGTTTGTATTACTTACTCTTGAACCTAATTCCATGATACACAGTCATAAGTAACTTTACCTTTAATTTGTTGGTAGAGATAGATAGAAAATATAGGGTATCTGTTGTACTGAGGAGCATCATTTATTGACAGGAATAATTCAATATTGTGACAATACAGATCATTATATTAACAACAACAACTTTTCCATAGAAATCTTCCTCAATTGTTTGGCTTGTAAAGATTCTTTCCAAATTAATCATGAGGAAGATAGTATGCCCTAGTTTAGTGTAGAATGGTTGTTTGGTAGATAGAACGTAGAAATAGTTTAACTTGGCATTGCAGTCCTATGACTTTCAGACAATGCTGGTTGGCATCGACAAGAGGACGACGGTGAGGGATCTCCTGGAGTCAACCTGTAACAAGCGGCAACTCAACCCGCGCGACCATTACGTCCGCATTAAGCCGCTGGGTGCTCCAGACAATAAGTTTCTTATTCCAGACAGACATGCTTGTATCAAGTCATTGGTGAGGCTTAGTAGAACTTCGCTGAGATACAAAATGTTTTAAATAGTGTTATTGGATGTTACAGAGATAAGATACAATATAACTTGGTGTTACAGAGATAAGATACAATATAACTTGGTGTTACAGAGATAAGATACAATATAACTTGGTGTTACAGTGATATGATGCTATGTTACATGATGTTACAGAGATAATATAGAGATAATATACAATATAACTTGGTGTTACAGTGATATGATGCTATGTTACATGATGTTACAGAGAAAATATACAATATAACTTGGTGTTACAGTGATATGATACTATGTTACATGATGTTACAGAGATAATATACAATATAACTTGGTCTTACAGTGATATGATGCTATGTTACATATGTTACAGAGATATATACAATATAACTTCGGTGTTACAGTGATATGATACTATGTTACATAATGTTACAGAGATAATATACAATATAACTTGGTCTTACCATGATATGATACTATGTAACATGATGTTGCTAGATGTAACAGAGATGTGATGAATGTTACATAATGTTATAGTGATATGATACCATGCTACATGATGTTGCCCAATGTTACAGTGATATGCTACCAGGTTACCATGTTGATGTTACAGAGATATGATGCTATAGAGGTTTGTCAGAAGAGTATATTCCAACTGGAGTTGACGAAGCCCTCCAAGGATGGTGTGTTCGGCTTTGCAGTGGAGGCGGAGCTTGTGGAAGACTTTGATCGTGATGATGAACTACGAGTGTATGTGTGTGATGTCACAGGTGGCTGTGTGGCAGAGAAGAGGGGTAAGTATTTATTATGGAAATGTGATGTATACATTTGTAATTTAATCATGTTTCTTGACTTTGAGGTGGATAGTATTTTGTGAAAGAATGAAAATACATCTTTCACACTTACTAGGTATATGTTTATACTAATAATTGTGGGAAAATACATTGTTACTATGATGATATTATTTTAACACCTTTTTTTAAATTATGACTAGTTCATGATATTACATCATAACTTTTTGGTCATTTTGCCTTTTTGTTTGCAACAATGTTTGTTGTTTGTGGAGTGGATGCAAAGTTACATCACATGACCTTTATTTGGAACCTGTGATCGAATCCCGGTTCAACCTGATTAGGTTTCCAGGTTTGTCAGCGTCCTACTTGTGCATTTAACCAAAATGGTTCCTGTTTGACACCTATGTCACCTTGGGCTTTCTTCCCAAATTAAACAGACAGTGGTATAACTGGATTGCTGTTCCAAGTGACATAACAGCAGACTATTCATCTATATCTTGTCTGTTTCAGGACTCATAATTGGAGATGAGCTTCTGGTGATCAACGGCAAGATTGTGTCGGAGCTAGATATGGTGTATATAGAGATGTTGCTTCATGAATCCAGGACTCTGTTTCTGACGGTGCGCTCTCTTCGGACGAAGCCACCACAAAGTGACTTTATAACGGAGCATGCAAACACGTACATAGACAACATGGTCATTCCTCCTCCGCCGAGCCAGCCAAGGATCACCGACAAAGTCATTGGAAATCTTATAGTCCCAGCACCTGCAAGATCACAGAATGGTGAGAATAGTAATGGTCTGTCTACTCCAAGTTACTGGTTAGGGCTCTTGGCAACAGGGTTGTAGCGCTGATGATTGCAACTCCCACACATACAACAACAATAGTGCTGTGGTCTCTTTGTTGTGTGGTGCCATGATGGGTACATAATGGACTTTTAGTGATATCGAACAATCAACATTTTGGGATTTTGTCTTTGTATCATCTGTGTCAAAATGTACTCAGATAGTGTACCTTATATTGTCCATGTCCGACACATGCAGAAGATGTGGGTGATGCCCCCTGATTTGTTGCTTGTGTCTGTGACATAGGACTCCAGTCCTTTCAAACCCGTGCCAGGACAGTGAACAGGACCCTGGTACTATCCAGGACCTGACTTGTGGCATCATCTTATATCATTTTTAATATTGATATGTGGATAAATATTTGAATGACAGAAACTTGACTCAGCCTTCGGTTTAGTGGCTAATGCTACAGAGCAAAACTTTCCATTCAGTACACTTGAATTTAAGCAATTTCCTTGTTCACTGGTGTGAGAGTCTTTAGAAGGAAATCCAGTTTCATTCCTGAATGGTTCACCCAAGTTATTCATGCCTTTCTATCATCCCAGAATGGTTTGACATCTGCCGGCCTAATTAAACTGTTTCTGTATGAAAATAGTTCCACGCTGTGTACAACTTCATACAGAGATTGTCACCATGAGCACGACTTAATTCCCAGTGAGGGTTCACTGTTCGATGACAAAGGGAGATAATTTCCTGAGATATCTGTTAACGTTGATCACATCTGGCATGTGACTTGTTTCTTGTGATTGTTTCAGCCAATGGAAAGCTGAGTAGTGGTAAGGCCCACGAAGGCACCGACCAGATTGATGCTTTGTTAAGGGTAAGATATTTTACAATTTGTCTGTATGTGAATGTCAGTTTGTGTAATCATGTCCATTCATAAAATCATGTAGAAATCAACTCAGACAGCCCAAGCAACTTGGAGTCCGACTGGAATCTGAGACTGAATTTGCACTGTAATTACATTGAAAACAATTATTTTACCTTATCCTGACTCATGCTAATTATGCTTGTATCCTTCCTCTTGCGAATGATAGTGGAACACTTGATATCCCTTGAAGTTCCCTTTTTAAAAAAGCTGACATAAAGTCACTCAAACTTTGGGCATCAAAGGGAGGAAAGGGACGCTACTCTTGGGTGAGTGATTTTACGTCTGCTTTTTTAAAAAGGGAACTTCAAGGGATTTCAAGTGTTCCACTATCATTCGCAAGAGGAAGGAGACAAACATAATTAGCAAGAGTCAGGATAAGTATAAAATATCAATTTTAGACAGAAAATTACATGAAAACATTGTAGTTGTGATATTTGTTAAGTAAATAGTACATCCCCAAAAATGATGACGTAGGCAAGTGACGTCATCAAGGCGTGTGATGATGTAATAAGATCATGGCAGATTAAAGACGTATGGCGGACTTATTGTTGTCTGTTGGAACCCAGGACCATCCACCCCAACATCGGAAATACATGACAGTAGTGTTGAAAACCAACCAGATTTTCAATGGATCTAAATACAGTGAATTACACTGATCCAAATAAACTGAATGAGCATGTTATCGGTTTGTTGTGATTTGCATCAAAATATGCCTGGTCTCATTACAGTAGACACTTACTGGGGAATAGGTATTGTTTAGTAAGTATAGTTTGGTTTCTCTCTGCTGTTTTTCAACAGTAGGTCTGCAGAGCAAGAAATGGGAAACAAGTCCTCCTGTAAACATCCAGTAAATGTGATTTTCTTTAAATTATTCAGTGTTATACACATGACCAAGTCAAAGACTTTGTTTTATTGTTTTTCAAAATCTTGTTTTTACTAACATTAAATTATTAGTGTTGTAAAGCCAACTGGAGTTGTCAATGACACTGTTGTTTGTCCAGGGAGCGGAACAAGTGACCGCCATCTGCCGCAACTCGGAATCCTCCCTGAGGTCACACTCACCGGACAGCTCTGGGTCAGCTCGACCTATGAGTGATGCTCAACGGATGAGGAAGGTCATCATGGAGCTGATTGAGACGGAACGGGCGTATGTCAAGGTAAGGTATCCGTTTGCTACTCTGAAACAGGCTTATATCATAGTAATGATAACGTTGGCACTACTGTGTAACAGGCTTATATCATGGTAATGATAACGTTGGCACTACTGTGTAACAGGCTTATATCATAGTAATGATAATGTTGGCACTACTATGTAACAGGCTTATATCATAGTAATGATAACGTTTGCACTACTGTGTAACAGGCTTATATCATAGTAATGATAACGTTTGCACTACTGTGTAACAGGCTTATATCATGGTAATGATAACGTTGGCACTACTGTGTAACAGGCTTATAACATGGTAATGATAACGTTTGCACTACTGTGTAACAGGCTTATATCATGGTAATGATAACGCTTTGCACTATAACAGGCTTATTAGTAATGACAACGTTGGCACTACTGTGTAACAGGCTTATATCAAAGTAATGATAACGTTGGCACTACTGTGTAACAGGCTTATATCATGGTAATGATAACGTTGGCACTACTGTGTAACAGGCTTATATCATGGTAATGATCATAGCACTACTGTGTAACAGGCTTATATCATAGTAGTAATGATAATGTTGGCACTACTATGTAACAGGCTTATATCATAGTAATGATAACGTTTGCACTACTGTGTAACAGGCTTATATCATGGTAATTGCACTACTGTGTAACAGGCTTATATCATAGTAATGATAACGTTGGCACTACTGTGTAACAGGCTTTATATTATATCATGTATATGTATGATACGGCTTATACTGTGTAACAGGCTTATATCATAGTAATGATAACGTTTGCACTACTATGTAACAGGCTTATATCAAAGTAATGATAACGTTGGCACTACTGTGTAACAGGCTTATATCATGGTAATGATAACGTTGGCACTACTGTGTAACAGGCTTATATCATGGTAATGATAACGTTGGCACTACTGTGTAACAGGCTTATATCATAGTAATGATAATGTTGGCACTACTATGTAACAGGCTTATATCATAGTAATGATAACGTTTGCACTACTATGTAACAGGCTTATATCATAGTAATGATAACGTTGGCACTACTGTGTAACAGGCTTATATCATAGTAATGATAACGTTGGCACTACTGTGTAACAGGCTTATATCATGGTAATGATAACGTTGGCACTACTGTGTAACAGGCTTATATCATGGTAATGATAACGTTGGCACTACTGTGTAACAGGCTTATATCATAGTAATGATAACGTTGGCACTACTGTGTAACAGGCTTATATCATGGTAATGATAACGTTTGCACTACTGTGTAACAGGCTTATATCATGGTAATGATAACGTTGGCACTACTGTGTAACAGGCTTATATCATGGTAATGATAACGTTGGCACTACTGTGTAACAGGCTTATATCATAGTAATGATAATGTTGGCACTACTGTGTAACAGGCTTATATCATGGTAATGATAATGTTGGCACTACTTTGTAACAGGCTTTTATCATGGTAATGATAATGTTGGCACTACTGTGTAACAGGCTTATATCATAGTAATGATAACGTTGGCACTACTGTGTAACAGGCTTATAACATGGTAATGATAATGTTTGCACTACTGTGTATTAGGCTCATGTCAAAGTAAGGATAATTCTAACTACGACTATGGGCAATTACACAAAACATGGTTTTAGCTCTAGCATTCAGCAATATTCCAGCTTTATGAAGGTGGCCTGAAATATTCACGTCTCTACCAGCCGATCTAGCAAGTGATCTAGTGAGCAATGTCCATATTTATCAGTTTTGTCAGCTGCCATTACTTCAATAAGGACTGGCTTCCAAACAGACAATTTGCTGCCTTGAACTTTTTGTCGTGCTTCCTGGAGCATTGACCTTCATACACAACACCAGTGATTCAGATTGAAAGTGAATATATTATATGTTTGAAAAATGAAAATCTGAGAGCTTCATGAATATAAAGTTGCATTCCTTTGGCATCCCAGGATTGTAAGACCTGGGGTGTGAATCCCAGATTAATCCAGATTAGAATCCTTGGTTTATCTGCACCTTCCCAGACATGTGTGAAATGTCTGGATCACCGTCGGTGTGCTCCCACTGTAGCGGGACACACTTGATGTAACAGACACTGTCACAAGCAGCGGCAAATCACTCTCATGCCTGGTCTTAGTTTCTGTAACAATACTTGTATAACTTTTGTAATGGCAGAAAAATGAAATCATGCAAACATCTCATGTGGTAAATTGTATATTCCAGGACTTGAACTGCCTCACAGAGCGCTACCTCGAACCTCTGAAGGAAGAGACGTTCCTGACCTCAGACGAGATCGACCAGTTGTTTGGGAACATTCAGGAGATTGTGCTGTTCCAGGGTCAGTTCCTGCACAGTCTGGAGGAAGCCATCGACCAGGAGAAGGACTTCTTCAACACCAGCGACTCGGCTCAGTTCAAGGTCAGTTTGTAACCCATGCATGTTCCACACATATTTGTTCATTTCTTGCATTTATTCCATTGAAGTATGCTACCAATACATTGAAACCTTACTACCAAAGTCTGTAGGTCAATATATGTAGGAAATGATGACATTAGACAATACTCCAAGAGTTTTTTCAGGGCAAACAATATTTTTTCAGTGTTTATATAAGAGTGAGTGAATAGAGTAGATAATGTTACCTGTAGGTGGTTAGGAATATCTTATGAAGACATATTCACTGAATCCTGCTTCATTACTACAGGAGCTATGGAAGTACTTCTTTGTGGTCCATTATTTGGAAATATTTATGGATATATTTTGACATAATTAAATTTAAATGCATGTTTATTTTTTGCTTATATATGAATGCAATATTTTTAATGAAATTATATGAATTTTTGTAGTAGAAGTTTAAGTTGAAATGAAGTAGCATGAAATACCAAAAGTAGGAATTAGTAGTGTAGAAAATAGTACTTTCTTTCTACTTTGTCTTATTCTGATCATATGAGTATCATTTAACTGTTAGCTATACAATTCATTGAAGTAAAGTGGATTTATTTGTTTGATTTGCACAGGATACCTGTTTGGCTGTGGGTATACTATTCTGTTGTAATCTTAGACACTCAGCAACTAGGCTATACAAATTCTTCAATATTCTACGCTTTAATGTTGAATTTCCTCTCACAGTAATGTTATCTAGATCTTGTTGTCATAACATGCAGTATTATCTAGTAAACGGTCATGAAATTGGATTGAAAATCTCACCTGTTTGATATATCACTGAATGCTTTGTCAATTTCCAAAACAGTTCAAAGATCAGCTTGTTGTAGCACAAACCAATTTAGCCGGCATGATAGCCTTGAATTGCACTGACAGGCACAAAATTTACATAAATTTCCATTTCAATATCGAATTGTCATGAACAGTCTTGTGTTCAACGGCTTGTTGCAGATGCAGATTTCTTCATCACAAATGCATCGTATCACTTCACGTTTGGGAATTTCTTACCAATTTCATTAATTTCATGACACGCTCAATTGCATGGGTTGTGTATGAGGAGTGATGTTGCATGTGTTAATGCATGGCGTGTCCACGGGCGTGTCCGGTGTGACCTCGCAGTCGTCACAGACATGCACAGCTTTAGCTGTAACTGTTACTCTCATTGTCCAATCATGTCTTCTTGCTGGAACACTATCTACTTTTTGATAACCAAATTAATGATTTTGTTGGCTATATTAAGTTTTAGTAATATGTGTTGGGTTTAGCATGAATAACAAATTGATCATCACTGTAGGAACATAAGTCATAGGAGCAGGGTTTTATAGCAATGGTCAGTTATACTGTTTAATCATTAACTGAATGACCCTTCACCTTTCTATACAAACAACTGTCACTGAATATGTCCAATAGGGAAAGTACCTTTATTCATATCCTATTTGTTTGTTGATATTTCATGGGTTGGTATACACTACTCTACCCCTTCATCCAGGAATACATGGAATACAGAACTGGTCAAGTGCAACATATGTTATATTTGGGGTTAAACCTTTTCAGTAAAGTATCGATTCTAGTACTTTTGGGGGGGTTTGAGTCCTCTAGGATCTAGACTACCAGTTGACCGATTTTCATTTTTGTGGAAGCAGTGGTGTCTGAGTGGGTTAGATGGCTGACTTTGTGTGCTGGCGATTAGGTGCCTCACTCAAAGTTTGGGTTTGAATCACGGATAGGAACTTAAAAGTATTTGAATCCTTACTTTACTGAAGAAGTGTAGTTTAATATATTGTATGTTAAATGGATATTCTGTCTGTCTGTGTATGTTTATACACACCATGGCCCTCCATCTACCGTAACTGCACATCACTGCTTAGTGGGAATCACGTGTGTTCTTGATACAGATGAGCCATCTGTCATTGTCTAAAGGAACCTGGATTTTGTCAGAGTTGCCCTGATATTGAAACAATGTCTGTGTAGATGACCACAAGACCATGCACCTTTTCCACGATATAATCTGAGTGTTGATTGGTCAGAGCACTATGTGGATTCCCACTGGGTTGAACCACGCCATGATTTGTTGGTTGAGAACAGCAACTGCACCTCAAAGCTTCTGTGTGTGTTCCCAGGTGATGGGTGAGCTGAGTGTATATAAACCTGTGAAGTGTGAATTATTCCTCTGCAGAAGTATGTTGTTTATTTACAAGACTTGGTTTATTTTCAGCGTGTGTTATTTTCCCTCGGTGGATCGTTCCTGTACTATGCCAATCACTTCAAGGTGTATAGCTCATTTTGTGCCAGTCATTCGCGATCTCAGAAAATATTCAACTTGGGTAAGTTGCAAGGTACAGTAAAGAGTGTTAAGGCCCTTCAAAGATTTTATCAACTTTTAGGTACACACAATAAATAGATGATCTTTAGTGTTAAAGTTTAACTGTGAGCACCTGTGGTGCTGCCATCTATAGTGCTTAATTCGGTGCTCAGAGTTGTGTCCCTTAGGTTGGCCAGAAACAGGATTCGAGTTCAAATTTCCTTTTGGTTTGTCCCCTATTTTGGTGAACCCTTCTTTCATTGTGTTATTTATTACATGACCCTCCCTTAGTCTCACTGATTCCCCCATACCTAAATGAACCAGGATGGTGGACAGCTTAGGAGTTAGGGTATACTTTCATTATGTGTTAATCCAGACTGGGTTCAGTAACAGTATACAGAGACTAATCTCCCAGTCATGATATTGTCAGTTTTTATCCACACTCAGTTACTCACAGCTGATGGATTACCGGAGATTTTATGAATGCTTCAATATTGTATCCCTTGTAATATTTGTGAAAATTTCAAAACAGGTTTGCGCTGCAGTTAAATATTAATGTACCGAACTCCATAAATTTGTATGGTTCTTGTCTTTTTCTATGGTCTGGCTGAACATGAATGTATTACAGTGTGTTATGCATACAAACTTCTTTTAAGCAGGTATTACCTGCCTATAAATACGAGATTAATACCTCAGGGTTTTTTTCACAAGTACACAGTGAATAGTCCCTGTGACTATTGCATGTAAATAGAGTGTCATCTTAGGGGCATTTGCTCTCTTAGTGGGCTTCATGATTTTCCTAAAATATTGCCAAGCTGCACAAGCTCATACTGACTGACACACTCAGTGCATATCTGTGTCCTGTACACAGATGCCAATGAAGCCCTGAAGAACTTCCTGCGAGCACGCAACCCCAAACAGCAGCATTCAGCCACTCTGGAGTCCTACCTGATCAAGCCCATCCAGCGCATCCTCAAATACCCCCTGCTGCTGCAGCAACTCTGTCACCTCACCCTGCCAGACACTGATGAACATCACCACCTGTCAGGTAAGTTCACAACACCTGACACTGACGAACATCACTTCCTGTCATGTAGCTGTACATCGCCAGACACTGACGAACATCACCACCTCTTAGGTATGTACGTAACACCTGACACAAATGAACATCACCATCTTTCAGTTAACACAAAGTCTATGACATAGTCTATGACATACAATAACCCCTGTCAGGTAAGTACACACCACCTTGAAGTAGGGTGCACAACCCCTGACACTGGTGAACACCTCAAACTGTCAGGTAAAACTCCTGGGTCTCATTTCACAAAGCGATCGTAGAGCTAAGATGATCGTAACTCCCATACTTTAACATAGACTTATGACTGTCGTAGCACTACGATCACTTTGTGAAACGGGACCCTGATGCTGGCATACTTCCAGTACATGCTTGCTCTGAAACATTTAGTTATCATTTAATTGTGTATAGATTATGTCATGTGATGATGACAGTGTGACCTTGACCTTGACAGAGGCTCTGCGAGGGATGGAAGCAGTAGCAGAACACATCAATGAAATGCAGAAGATCTACGAGGAATATGGCTCCGTGTTTGACGACTTGTCTAAGACCTTCAAGGAAGTTCACCCGTCGAAGAAGGTGAAGGTCGTTGGCGGGGTAACTGACACACTCGTGTTTGGTGTTGTCATCAGTCACTGTGTATAGTCAGTCCTGCTGTTATCATTGATTTTTATGTTTTTTGTCATAAGATGTTGAATGTAAATAGATATCTCCCTAGATACCATCCCCTTACCCTCCCGACAACAATGGGTGTGTCTGCCAGTTGTGGGACAGTACGAAGCACAGTCTCTTGTCATGATTTAAAATATTTAAGTGCATGCTCATCGGTCCAAGGTGCTGCAGTTAGCTGTTGTATCCCATTACCTTATGAGATTCACCCCTGTGAGGATTCAGGTTAGAAAAGTTCTTTAGCAACCTATGTTTGTCAGATAAAGAGATGAAAGGGTGGCTGACTTGGTTGATCATGTCGTCTGAATCACACTTGCACAGAATGATGCTTGTGAGTCACTTGACGTTTGGTTATATGGCTGAAATATTGATGACTTCGGTGTTAAACAACATACAAACCAGATCCAAAGACAATGAGTCGAGGTTTGTCTGAATGTGATTCTTGGCTAGTGTTTGAAAAGTTCACAGGAGGATGGACAATTGCTACAAATGGGACTTTCAGCTTGACTCTGACAAAAAGCTGGTGAACAATACAACTGAAATAGTGTTTAAAGCATCATTGAACTAACTGACTCACTTAAACCTCAGAGACTGGTGATCATTGTGTGTACAGAATGGTGTTCTTATGTTGAGAGAATTTTGTCATGGCTGTATTGCTCGGAAGTTGTATTGTTGTGGCCTGTTGTGATGTGCTAGGAGTATGCGATCTCATTACAAGCAGAGTTTTACTCCTGAATGGAACCTCCATGTTAGAAGATCTCAGGATCCTGACAGGAGGTGGCGTCAGCTGAACTTTCACACCAGCCAATCAGTGCAAAGGCTTTTATATTGTCAGTATAAGTGAGCAAAGCATTCAGAGGAGTATCTCTGATTTTTATATCTTGGAAACAATGTTCTACAGACAGTTTTGAATGCCAATAATAACGGTTGTGGAAGCATGCAATTCATGCACAGACATTGCTGTGTGCCATGGTATCCACACCCTGATGAAAATAGAAACTCTGAATCGGGGTGGTAAGGACGTTTAGCTGTACTGTTATAATAAACTGATAACTGATTGGCTGAAGAATCGTGCATCTTTCATTTAGATTGGGTGGCCACAGTTCACTCAAAGTTCGTCTGACATGACCTTCGATGGTTAACAGATTTTTACACATTGAGGAAGTAAAAGACCTGCTGGTAATGAGTTTGTAGAGGTACTCACATAACCCCATCTGGTACGGAAGTTTTATTGCTTACTGCATTGGCATGGAGATTAACTCTATCAAAACACAACTTGATAAGTGATAATCACACTTAGGAAAACGCTAAACTTTGGATTAGTTTTTTCATACTTCAAATGTACATAGATTGTCTTAGGTGTTAAAAATGCCATCATACCATCTGTAGACATCTGGTAATATTTGGGAAATAGTTCAAAGGACAGAATGATATTCCCTTAAATCATTTGGCCAGATTTCTTGTTTTCAGTATGTTTTATATTGTTTTGTAAGACTTGAGATTTTTATTCAGTCCTTGAAAAGTTTTAAAAATATTTAGCCATCTGTGCCATGTTCCCGTTTTCAACATGTTACAATTGGCATATGTTTGAATTAAATATCATGTGCCCCGCTACATGCTGTATGTGCCCAATATATCGAGCTGTGACCTACTATACCAACATAGATGTGCTATTATATATCTGGCTGTATGTGTCTTATTACATGTTAGCTATATGTGCCTATCATATCGAGCTGTATGTGCCTTATTACGTGCAAGACAATTACATGCAAGACATACGATGTGCCCTATTACATGGAAGACGATGTGCCCTATTACATATAAGCTGTATGTGCCCTATTACATATAAGCTGTATGTGCCCTATTACATATAAGCTGTATGTGCCCTATTACATATAAGCTGTATGTGCCCTATTACATATAAGCTGTATGTGCCCTATTACATATAAGCTGTATGTGCCCTATTACATATAAGCTGTATGTGCCCTATTACATATAAGCTGCCCTATTACATATGCTGTATGTGCCCTATTACATATAAGCTGTATGTGCCCTATTACATATAAGCTGTATGTGCCCTATTACATATAAGCTGTATGTGCCCTATTACATATAAGCTGTATGTGCCCTATTACATATAAGCTGTATGTGCCCTATTACATATAAGCTGTATGTGCCCTATTACTATGTACATATTACATATAAGCTGTATGTGCCCTATTACATATAAGCTGTATGTGCCCTATTACATATAAGCTGTATGTGCCCTATTACATATAAGCTGTATGTGCCCTATTACATATAAGCTGTATGTGCCCTATTACATATAAGCTGTATGTGCCCTATTACATATAAGCTGTATGTGCCCTATTACATATAAGCTGTATGTGCCCTATTACATGTATAAGCTGTATGTGCCCTATTACATATAAGCTGTATGTGCCCTATTACATATAAGCTGTATGTGCCCTATTACATATAAGCTGTATGTGCCCTATTACATATAAGCTGTATGTGCCCTATTACATATAAGCTGTATGTGCCCTATTACATATAAGCTGTATGTGCCCTATTACATGTAAGCTGTATGTGCCCTATTACATGTAAGACAATGTGCCCTATTACATGTAGGACAGTGTTCCCTATTACATATAAGCTGTATGTGCCCCAGGTGGTGGACCTGAGTGTGGGAGAGCTGCAGATGTACGGCATGGTGGAGTGGTGCAACATGACTGACTATCTGGGCAAGACAAAGAAAGCATCAGACTTTGAGAACACTGTGTTCGTCTTCCGGACTGGAGTTGTGTTCCTTTGCCGAGAGAGGCTCAAGAGGAGGAAGACAAGGGTAAGAGTTATCTCCCATAACAGATGTAATCTGGCTTGAAATAAGAGTGAGTGAGTTTAGTTTTACGCCACACTCAGCACTATACCAGCTATAGGGTGGCGGTCTGTGAATCGAGTCTGGACCAGACAATCCAGTGATCAACAGCATGAGCATCGATCTGCGCATTTGGGAACTGATGACATTTGTCAACCAAGTCAGCGAGCCTGACCACCCAATCCTGTTAGTCGACTCTTGCGACAAGCATGGGTTACTGAAGATCAATATTCTAACCCGGACTTTCACAGGTACTTGAAATTTGAACTGCATGTAGTATGATCTGATTACCATACACATTGTACGGAAGGTGAACTACAGAGTTTATGTGTCAGCCAAACTGAAACTGACCAATGCTTTGTGAAAATACACCATGACTGTCCTGCATATTGCCAAGGGTGGCTATATTTGTGTTGACATTAAGTTACCCAGGGTGCAGTGGTGACAAGACCCCCAACAGTGCTACAAGTCAACCTGAGCAGATGCAAGGCTGGTGATTTTCTGGCTGTTTCATGTGCTATATTTACTGATCTGAAGGTGCTTGCCACTTCAATATTGTGACCGGTACTTCATATGTACTGTCGACTGTTACAGACTACATTTTTTGGTTTTACTGTAATTAGTTTTGTTAAAATTACTGTTGATGACATAAAATGTTGACTGTCTTCTTCAGTCCCTCCCTCCCAAGATGTCCCTTCTGGAGCACCATCATCAGATGGACATGCTGGAGCGCTTCCGCACTCTCATCCCCACGCAGGAAGTGCAAGTGCGTGTTGGGAAGGTCAGCGACATAGACCGACACTATTGGTGGGATCTCATCCATTCCAGGTCCGACTCTGAGGGACGACCGGAGAGACTTTACCAGTTCTGCAACAGGTATGTAGTGATTACGATTGAAAAATTAAATTTCTATTCAGTATGCCTTGAAAAGATCACCCAGATCTTTAGATCTTCCAGGTCTTTTTCTTATTTCTCAGTTTTGCCATGTGTAGAAGATATAGTATCTAATTAGTTACTGTTCAGTGTTAATGATTTTAATTACTAACAGCTTGTCTAACTGAATGAATAGATAAAGTCTAAACAGTCAAACCCTGTTAATCTGAGTGGGTGAGTGAGTGAGTATTGTTTTACGCAACTTTAGCAATATTCCAGCAATATCACAGCGGGGTAACACCAGCAGTGGGCTTCACACATTGTACCCATATGGGGAATCGAACCCGGGTCTTCAGCGTGGCGAGTGGAAGCTTTAACAAGACCCCCCCCACTGCCCCCTGTTACTCTGAACCGTGTCAGTCTGGATACCTTGCCTGACATGCTATATACAATTACAGCAACATGACTATGTACCATGGAGGCCATTTGTGGTCATGAGGTCTGTTTCTGGAGTTCAACCACCATGATTTTGCTGGAGCTGTTATAAAACCATGCTCAATCACTTCTATAAGTCACTTTCAAAGATTTTCCTGATAAGCGTACATTATGTAAAAGTAGACAAACATTGTCTGTTTTCAGTACATCTGAGGCCAAGTCTGACTTCATGAAGGTGATCAGACAAACGATACGGGAGAGTGTCCGCAGCATGACGGTGCCAACCAAGCCAGCCCAGCTCAAACCACGCAGTTTGAGCCCATGCTCTGCCGAAAAACTTGACCCGCTTCCCTTGTTGAACAAAAAAAGAGGTCAGGATCCTGAAAGACACTCTATGGATTTTGACGAAAAAATTAGTGCACTAGAATATGAAGCAGCTTTCAGAATACGCAGCAAGACTATAGGCGATATAAATCAAGCGAGTTTGGACGACAATGCTGCTTATACTACTGTTTCTGAGCCACAGATAGCTCAAAACAAGAGTCCAACATCCTCAAACTCTAATCTAAGTAGTTCTAGTCAGAGCGGGTCTGCTAAGTTGCTGTATGCCAGCGCGCCAATCCCCTGAACTATTCATCAGGCTCTGTTAATTCTATTGGGTCACCAGTGTGGAAGCCTCGGTCAGAAAGTAGGCAGGGCACACAGAGCCCACAGAACCAGAGTCCAAAACGGCCGGGCATATCGCAAGATGACACTACATCAAGAACTAGTGCCATCAGTGATGCTAGCAACTCACCAAAGCGTAATAATACAAGCAGTGATTCGCCTAAGCGTAGAGATCAAAAGACTGTGGTGTTTGCAGCACCGTATGGAGTACAGCCATTTAAAGATACTGAATGTTAGCAGTAGATGTAGGTAGGAATACCCAAGGTAAAATGGCCACCATTTGACTGGTGGCAGACAGCCTGCTGAAGGACAAATTGCTGACGATTTGCTTACCGTTTCAGATGAGAGGTGTGAGCAGATATGCGAGGCAGAGCCCGCCCTCTCTGCTGAGCAGGGGGCGACGGGCTCTAGCCCGCCGGGTGAGATAATAACCTACCTCTGATGGTTGTGGGGCTTGGTTAGTTGAGCATGTGGTTTACGGTTGTGAGGTGGGCACTCCCTGGACCAGGGAGGATGGCTCCTATGGACAGCTTATAGAGGTTTTAAGAGGGAAAAATGGTGATGTTAGGGCAGTGTGTGCCTTGGAGGATGATTAGAAGCATTTCAGAGTATAAAAACAAGGTGCCCCTCATCAGTGTGTGCTAAATGCTTGATGGCTTGGAGGGCGTACCTGAGGGGTATGTATAACTCCTGGAGGTGTGACTGGATACATCATTCAGCAATGTTGTCTCCAGTCAGTGCTGTGGTGGACAATGCATTTATTAGGTTATAAATGTTATATTATCCCAGATGTGTCATTATCCCTGTTATTCCATTCTGCTGGCCAGATAGTGACAGTTTGTAAAGGATAATGAATGTTCTTTCAATGACTGACTGTACAGAACTATATACAGACTGTAATATATCACATCTGTTCCTATTGCTGTTCCGAGTGTACAGTGTATCTATCAGAATTGCTGTACAGTTATATTCTTCCTGTACACCCTGTACAGTCGATGTATTAGCACACCGCATTGTAAAATAACCACATATACCCTCCACAAGATTATTACCTTTCACATATCTCAAGTGAAAATGAGTTTCTCAAGTTTTTGTTAGAATCTAGATTTTCTTAGATTTCTATCTGGTCTCTTGACTTTGGGTGCATGCTTCATGATAACTGCATTTCGTTACCAGGTCAGGACTTTATCACGTGACAAGATCATGTGACCACATCATGTGACTAGATCATGTGACTTGATCACTGTGCATGCTTTACAGTAGGTGTAAGAGGTAGCTGTTTACACTTACCACCAGATGGCGCTCTCCCTTGATCTGTGTCTGTTTACCTGACAATGGTTGATAGAGGTAGAATTGTTTCTCCATATATATTTGACATACACATCAGGATAACCTGCTGATTATTTTGATGCTGATAGTGTTGCATGTGATTTTAAATGGTTACTTATTGTAATTGTGTTTTGTGAAGTAATAGTTGCAGGAGAATAGTTTCTTTGAATAATTTGAAATATGTTGCAGCTTGGAATTTGTTTGTGAAAGCATTTTGTTCATAATGTTTGTTGACATTACTGAAATGCTTTAAGATATATAAAACTTTTATAAAATATCAAACAAAGATATAAAATATCACACATAGTTTAAATATAACAGTTATCAGTCAAAATATGAAGTTTCTCTGTCCTAATTGAGATCCAAATATTTCATCAGATCCATTCTGTTTTCCTGTGAAATGAAATTGAAATTGTGTGATTAAGAAATCCATATTGCTTACTCTACCAGTGATGTCAAATTGATCATACATTGTCCATGCATTTCTGTTCAATGATATGCAACTGTGTTTTTTAAGAGATTTTATGTAGTGCTATTGAGACCAGTCGCATATGCCTGTACAAGTATTTCACCAGATACCAGCATTGTGAGCACTTCGTCTAGTCAATCATTAGTTTTACCTTCTGTATGAGAACAAACTGCTGACCTAAGCATGTTTTATGTAGTGTTTTGGGCTAGAAGGCCAAGGGATGTGCAATATGTTCTCAGTCATATGTTTTATTTATTGTAACTTGTAGTTGAGAATAGTTCAAGGGGCCAAATATATCAACCAATCACAAGCATGTATATATTCACTGTAACATAACCATATGTACATTCTGTTACACAGCCACTGATTGGATGGTTAAGCCAGAGCTGATGTTAGAGTAGCTTTCAATGGCTTAAACCTGATACTCACGTTTGTGAAATAAGATTTGTTATTATGAACACACATACTAGATTTAATCTTCTTCCATGTCCTTCCTGTCCACCTGTGTTGCTGAATCGTCACCTTCTGACACTAATGTGTTGTAGTTTATAGGTGTTGTACAAGATATGATTTCAGACAATGGAGATCAAATCATACTTGTTGTTTATTAATTAAGAGTTTATCATTGTCAAGTGTCATCAGTATTTACACCTGTTTCATATCCATTACCTTTCAAGAGTCTATGATTCAATATTTCTATTCTCATCAAAGCAATCATGAAGGTGGCGTTAGTTGGCAGCTGGAATCCATGCAGAGTGTTCAAGGTGATGACAATGTCAAGGTCACATCGGACAAAAACTCTGCAAGTTTTATGTATAATGCTAATTCACATGGGGCATATTTTGACAAGATTCCATTCAACAATTTAAGTTATATGATCACGAATGAAGGGAGAAATGCCTTGGGTATTAACACTGAAAAATTCAGCCATATGTTTATTTTCAAACTTAAATATTTCAGAATAAAGATTACATTATTTGTATTTTGGAAATATTACCTTTTCATAATTTACAGATCAGCTGTTTGACAGAGTGTATGTTTATCAATAGGTTTATTACTTGTTTTGGGAGGACTAAGAACATAGTGTCAACAGTTATGGTGAAAGGATGTCATTATTCTGATGCAATTACTTTTGCGTTTCGTTTTTCGTAACTCTTGCCACCATCATATCAATGGAATATTTGTGAGCGTGGTGTTGCACAGCACACCTTCAGCCTCCAGCTTCATTCAGTATGGTCGTATTGGATGGGGAAAATCTTCCGTTACATACGGGAAAGTATAATAATTATAATTTGTTATAAATGCCAATGCAGTCATGGAATTCTATCTTTAACCCCTTACAAAACTCTGATACTGTGTCATCTTCAGTTGAACATTGGTACCATTGCACAGCCAGGTGGTTCAATGTGTTGCTGGTCAGATTTGATTCTTCACATTTGGGTGTCTGCTGTTGTCATAATAGCTGCCTGTGCAATGGGACTCTCCGTTTACAACTTGCCTTACTACACAGGAAAACTTCAGCACTATGCTAAGTAGACTGCCTGTTGACTGAGTTGTCTGCCGTTTTGACACATTCAAACTGAATAAATAACATCGTGCATCATGGATTAGTATGCCTTAGGAAAGTAGAATTGAACCAGATTGGCACATTATGGCATGGGGTTATTGATCTAGTTTTCAAGATTCTCTCCTTATTGCTGCCAGATCTTTTTCCACTCATGGCTCTATTTTGGGCTTTATTTAATGCTGTCGCTGATGTTATGTCTTCTGCATTTCAAGTTAACACCAGTGAAGCATTCTTTTGTTGACATGCTTTCTTTGTTGACGTCATGATATGATGAGCGTTATGTAAATTATAAACTGATTCAACATTATATATTTAGAGTTCATGTGTTTTGTGTGTTAAATGTTTTTTTTCATGCAATTTAGTCCAAATGGTAACATTATTCTAAAATGCTATGAATGTCATGATTTCCCTGGTCAACAAACAAGTAATACTTTCATGCAAACTGTTTTCACTTTTCCAAAACCACTATTATTGTTCTGTAATGTTTGAATTAGTTGTATGGTAGCTAGCATCTGTGATCGCGCCATGCACTGTCCACATATCATGTGATAACTCTCCTGACTTGGAGGCTCAGGTTCTACCTCTTCTGTCTTGAGTTGTCTCCCCTTAGGTTGCAGGAAACCATTGATATCTTCAATGATGCACGTCTGTTGCCATTAATTGACCATGCTAACTGTAACGGTTTATTCAATCTGTTTTTCGTAATCAAAATTGTAGGTTATTAGATGTTATTGTTTCACATTCATGTACCATATTTAACACACAAAAATAAGAATGCAATTTTCTTGTGTCTACACTTCACATGTTCATTGAAGAGTATGAGAATTTGTTATGGAAGTCAAACACAGGTCAGGTTTGTTAAGCTGACCTACAAGTTGTATGTGGGATCGAGCACAGACTAATGTCTTTTGTCTGGTGATCTCGGGATGTGTGACTTCTACATAACTAGCTGCATCATCACTTAGTCTCTCAGTGGTGACGTCATCACCAGGACTCAGTGGGTTGACTTCACCACCTGTTTCTACACCCCATGCAAGAAACATGAACTCATTGTCATCAGTATATCATTACTCATGCTGTTCTCCACTTGCGTTTTACAGTCCAGATTTCACAGGGTACGGATTATCCAGGTTGTGGCAGACATTCAGTCCACACTCGTGACTATAGGAACATTCAGACAAATGGCAGATGGATGAACTGCAGTCAATCAAAACTTTTCACATGAAGTAGCCAGGCTACAAGCGAATCATAGAATCTTGTGTGCCTCTACATTGTATCTTGTGCTGTTTTCCCTGATAATCGATGCATTATGATAGATAATCTGGACCTATGTTCCACCACAGCTAATTATAGTCGTCCAATCCAATTACTCCCATGCGCAACAGAAATTCTGTGTGAAGTGACTGATCAGAGCGGTTATTTGGGGACGTCACAGTTTCATGATGAATGAACCAAGTGATTTATGGTCGGGTTTAGACCAATTTTGTTGTACATCTCTACGGTTTTAACGTTGGTTATGTGTCCAATAGAACATGACCGTACTTAAGCCTGAAAGGTTGAGTGTCAGGACCTAATGCTTCCCGACTTGCATAACCTGTGCCCAACTCGTGTTACTCTGGAATAATTATTTTGTAGGCTTTATGAAACCACAATTGTTGATCGGATCAAGGAGAATAAAACACAGAGATCTGAACGCACACTTCCTTGTTCATTCATGTCAACGGATGATGGGTTTTGACCCTATGTGGACATTCTTACTGCTGCCATGGTGATGTAGTTTCTTAAGACAGGTTACCAAAGTTACAGTAGTCATAAGAGAAAATCGGGTGTTTTTCAAATTCGTTGGATAGTTCAAACATTGCAGGCTGCGGATAGAGAACAGAAGGTCGGGGGTCGATCCCCGGTGGTGTCATACTCAAATATGTAAATAATGTTACTTGTTGTAACCCTATATGGCGCTCGGAATTAAGAGGTAAAACAAGGGAGTGTCGGTTCTAAATTAGTATACGTGCTATGTGAATGGGGTATCCATCTTAAACCACGGAATGGTGTATCACCTCACCAAGACTAAGTAACCGGCATTAGGCTGGACTCGTTCTCGCAGCCACACCAAGAACACGCACGTGCATGTACGTTAGTTCAATAATCTCCAACGCAACGCAACTCCATTTCATGTTTTATCTGAATGTTCCTTCAAGCTGAGAGAGGGGGTAATATAAGACGCAATATATTCTTATATTGTTTTAATTTTATCTGTCAAATGTCTATACAGACAAAAGGACATGATTAGTGTTGCCATGGGTACCAGACTTTTCTCGTACATTCCAAGGCTTACTTCTGTCGCTAGGAACAAGGCCATGTCAGCCATCACGCCGACTGTACAGACGACCTTCACCTTTCGTGTTCCAAACATCAAGCCCAAACCGAGGCTGAAATCCACCACCCCGGCAACATACATGTAGGTCAGTGCGTTGATTGGGCAACCAATGTAATTTCCCGGGAACATTGTTGCGTAGTATGTGAATTCAGCTATCTAAAAAGAAAAAGTAATAACATTATCCAATTTAGACCATCACACAAGGATGCTGCTGAACCTCTCGTACTAATTGAATTACAGGATTTCTGATGACATTGTTTTGTTTCTTAGCGTTGTCAAGTATGAGAGGTCTGCCTAAACGTGGCAACAATTGAAATCACGAACTCCGTTATCCATAAAAGAGTCTTCGAGTCCAAGTATCACACCAAACTTATGGAAGGGAAGACAGATTCCCTCAAGTGACCAAGGCTTGTGTTTAAACGGGTTAATTTCCAGACACACGAAGTCGAACAAAAATACTTTTCTTTGACTTTGCCCGCCGTGATATTGCTGGAATATTGCTAAAAACGGCGTAAAACCATACTCGGTCAGTCAGTCTTTGACTTTGCTTCATGAAGGCCCGACCTTCAAACATCTGAACAATCCTGTCAGTCCGTCACATTTAAGTATTTAAGTATTCAAATGTCCGTCAAAGTTGGTATTCAAATGGATTCTGTCTGTCCGTCAGTTTTGTATTCAACTGTATCATGTTTGTCTGTCACAGTTGCCAAACTGCCAGTCGGTCAAATGGAGACTCACCAGCCCTTTTTCGTCGTATACGACGCTGAGACCAAGTGACCAATACTTCAATCGGCAACCAATGCACGCCAGTATATTTATATTTACCATTCCGCTGTGTAGACTTGCTGGGAATGGGAGCAGTTTCATGGCACCTGCCGTGATAAACATGGCGGCCAACAGCCCCGATAGTATGGCCCATCCACAGCACATCCTCAACAGCACAAGGAACACACTGCAACGTCACCAAAGTAATCTAAAAAAATCATTATCTCAGTATTCTTAGAAACGTTAGGTTTAACATTTAGAGACTAATAACGAAAACTTTACTTGCACACATTGGCTCCAAATGAAAGCACTGTCGATCTTCAGATTGCTAGCGGTGAAACAAGTACAACACAAGGGATCCGCAGTTCGTTGTGCGGATTTGAGTTCCTGACTCGTGTTTGTGTCTTTCACAAAGGTGGTAAGTGGCCAGGACCTGCATAGCTTCGGGCTTTCCACCATAAGCTGAGACGCCGTGATATAACTGGCTACAAACCCAACTCACTCACTCATGACAATCGGGAGATCAGCGAACCATGTCAGCATCAGTCCTGTGTGGGCACAGCTATACATACATTCTATCGCAAGGAGACGAGCTTGGCACATGAAGTAAACATACTTTGTGTTCATTGTTGGTGCCAAATTGGAAAGACTACCGATTTAAAAGAAAGGAAGAGACTTCTCATATTTCTTTGTGATGGTTTAACAATAAATATTGGCACCAAGCAAATTCTGCGGATGAGTGACTGAGTTTAGTTTTACGCCGCACTCCGCAATATTCCAGCTCTATGGCGACGGTCTGTAAATAATAGAGCCTGGACCAGATAATCCAGGGATCAACAGCATGAGCATCGATCTACGCAATTGGGATACGATGACATGTGTCAACCAAGTCAGCGAGCCTGACCACTCCATCCCGTTAGTCAACCTCTTACGACAAGCATGGGTTACTGAAGATCAATTCTAACCCGGATCTTCACCGGTGTCTGTGGATGACAAGGTCACGGGCGTGGGGAATGAATCACTTGCTAGCCGTGAGTTAATTTCTTATACATGTTTGAATACGTCAGGAAATTACATATCTCTCATCAGTATATATAGTGTAGCTCCAAATGAAGCTATGGGTCATTAGACGAGATTAGTAGGACATTAGGATAATAGACTGTGGTTGCAATTTCACGCCGTACCCTGCTGTACATAATCTAGTCTGGACCAGACACTCCAGTGATTGACATCATAAGCATCGTTTAACGCAGTTGGTATACGTTGACATATTGTATTAACCAAGCCATCGGGTCTGACCACCTGATCCATTTAGGTGCTAATTACAAGCAGAGGTTGTAGGGGATCCCTATATGAACTATGTATAAATAACTGCCAGGTGATTACAAACACGATGTACAAGTGGGTCCAGTTCAGGTTGTAATCCCAACGGGGTTTCCCCATACAAGCAGCCAAAGAAATAGAACATCACCAGCATTGGCGTTTCCACTGAAAAGCCGTTTTGACATTTACTGAGCCAGTAGCCATTTGCGCATTTGATAGTGAACCATGTTACTGTATAATGCGCGCCATGCAACAAGAAGAGTACGTGACCCCTTACCCGGGTACTGTTCTTGTGTCAATGTGATCATGGATGCTTACCATTTATTCTGCGAAAGTATAAAATTTTGACATAGACCAGCAATTACATTCAAATTATTATGAGGAGCCCCAGTTGGGTGGCATAGTATGCCAGTACAGTTAGGACTGGGCCGAAGGGAAGATAATAGGGTTCAGCTTGTGCAAGTGTTGTGCAGAACTAAAAGCATGTCGGGCGTTCGGGGCTCGTGTTAATTAGACATACCTGACATGTTTTACATGACGCTAAGATCTTTTATGTCCCGACCAGCTGCCTCTGTTGCACTTCGAGCAGCTTCAGTCTCCAGCTGTTGACGTGGGTAGGTCGTCCCTGTAGCCGGGTGAATCTAGGACAGTGCTCATCACATGACCGCGTATTGTGGGGGAATGTTTACTTGGACCAGCAGTGGTTGTGCAGCGAGACACACCAATACACGTATTCTGAATAACGATCAACCGGAATAGAGGCGGGCTGCCATAGTCTTCGGCTTTAGCTTTTAGAATACCATAGTAGTAGTAGTAGTAGTAAGGTGAGGTGAAATTGGGTTTAACGTCGTGCTTGAGAATATTTCGCTCATATGACGACGTGCATGCGTGTGTATGTGTATGTGCGGCTGCTTGTACTAGCCCAGACTTAAGCTGGTTTTATAGTGCTAGCCCACTGAGATACCATGCCGCAGTGAAGCATGAATACCCCACTCAGACACATTATACTGACTCCGAGCCGACCAGTCCTTGTTGTACCCATTAATGCCGAGCGCAGGCAGGGACCAACAAGTACCATATTTTAACGTCTTTTGGTATGACGCGGTCGGGGATCGAACCCGCGACCTTCCGCTCTCCGGGCGGACGCTCTAACCACTACACCATGGAGGCGGTCCAGTAGTAGTAGTAGTAGTAGTAGTAGTAGTAGTAGTAGTAGTAGTAGTAGTTTACACATCCGTATAATATGTTTATATATTGTCACATGCACAAATGCAGAATGGAAACATGCAATCTAATGTGAATTTCTCGACACAATAAAATAATTATGTTGTCATTTTAAGTAATTAATACCCCGCAAACATGTGGTTAAATCCAAGGAAGACGAACCTGCGTCATGAAAACTGGCCCAGGGTGGCTAGTCTTTTTGTGTGATTATCTCCCCTATCCAATTAGCAACAACTGGAGGTGTACAGTCCGTTTGGGTTCAACGATGAATGATTAAATAACTCGGAAAAGGGATACGTTCCCAAAACATAAATAAGACACATGGTCCTGAAACCTCTGTACCCAACAGGATCTGAAATCTGATGTTTTATGATCAATCATGGAAAAAGTTGTTTAAGAAACTATCATGTAATGTTGTTATTTTTTTTCATTCTTCAGGGGGTGACAAACGGCTGGTGGAACAGCACCGGCTGTTTCCTGACTATAGTAGAGGTAATCTCACCTGGCTGTGCTGAGTTGCGCCTGAAGTGCGTGGCGGTGCTGTTCCACCAGCCGTTTGTCACCCCTCGATGTGAAGCTTGAAAATAGAACACTTACATGGCAGTTTCTTAAACAACTTTTTCCGTAATTGATCATAAACCGTCAGATTTCAGATCCAGTTGGGTACAGAGGTTTCAGGACCATGTGTCTTACTTATGTTTTGTGCACTTATCCCTATTTAATCATTCATCATTCTCATTTGAACCCAAACGGACTTAAAGTACTGTCGGAAATAGATAAAAACTGTATTTTCTCATTGATCTCTACAATTTATGTAGTTGATATGTGAAAGTGTGAAATATCTGTTAATCTAACTTCGGCCTAACTACAGTCTCAGTGGTAGAGAGATAGGAAACGGAGAAAAGGGACTTTACTGAGGGAAAATTAGTGCAGAAATGAGCAATGGGTTTTTCTAAGTCCAAAAAGACTTATTTGGAACAGCCCATGGCTTTATGCAAATTAGTGTGCGACGATATTGTATTACAAAGGACACTTTTTAAATGCCCAATTTGAAATTAGATGTAGATTCATTATATACGATAGCTGACGTAAAAAATAATATCTTTTATGCCGAAACTATTAAGGATGTAGCTACCATGCAGTCTCACTGTCACTATAAAAAGAAACAGATAGGAGGGGTCGTCTCAAAAGCAAAACCTGGGGTCGGGCTTGGGGATAAGAGATATCAGCTAAGATAAGATAATCCTTTAGGGCAATTATACTGGGGAGGTACACGGCACGTCATAACATACACATTCAAATTCCAGGTGTTTGCAGGCTGGGTGCGGGGGATTTTTCCCGCAGTGACCCCCCAAAGGGGGTCAGGGTGGGAAAAATTTGGGAAAATTAGTTTTTGCTTTTTTCACAAAATACATTCTAATAACTGCTTTCTATCAGGAACTATAAAAATATTTAAAGTTTATTGATAAGTTATAGGTACAGGAAGACATTTACTTTGAAAAATGCATTGCGTCTAAGGGAAAAATTAAACTTTATAGCTGTTTTTCTACACTTTCTAGTGGGCAATTGTTTTAAGAAGGTATTCTTGTTTCAATAGCTCTAAAATGATCAAAATTAATGTTACAGCTATACTTAAAGCATGAAAAGACTTTGAGATGGTTTATTGTAGTCTGAGTGCTGGGGATTTTTCATGCCCTGACCCCCAAGAGGGGGGCCAGGGGGTAAAAATTTGGAAAAATGAGTTTTTTTCTTTTTTTCACAAAATACATTCTAATAACTGCCCTTTATTAGGAACAATGAAAATATCTAACATTTATTATTTAGTTAGAGGCACAGGAAGACTTTAAATTTGAAAAATGCATTGTGTCTAAGGGGAAATCAGACTTGAATGCTGTTTTTCTACACTGTCTAGTTGGCAGTTGGTTAAAGAACGTATTATTTCTTCAATTGCTCTAAAATGATCAAAATTAATGTTACAGCTATACATAAAGCATGGTGGTTTATTCTCACTTTGGCTTTTTATAACATTGAGTTACCATTACTTATATTTATGTACCTTTATGCCGAATCATCATAGATTGTGTCCAGAAGACATTCAATCTCAACTTCGTCTGAATCCTCAATTCTACTCAAATCTAAGTTCTTGCTGGATATTATGTCTGTCAACTCTTGTGGAAGGATGTTGCCTATGGTCCATTGACATTTCAGAGCATTTACTCCCCCTTTCAGCCACCCTTAGCCCACAGGGTGAGCAACACTAGGGTGATTCTTGTCAGCACTGACCAAGATCAAGGCCTGGTGATCGCACGCTGCATGTGCATGTGTAGGGAGTCTCTGCAAGGAGTCCAAAGACCTCAACAAGTCAGTAGCTATCTCATCAGAAAGTCCTATCTTGGATAAAGCATTCACAAATTCAGGGTGAGATTCGAGAAGCTCAATGGGGAGAACTTTGCCGCATTTGACAAAGGCACTGGTGGTATCACGTCCTGTAAATGCATGAAGGGCTGGCTGGACATTGCACAGAGTGGACCCTTTCAGATTGATGATACTTTGTACATCCAGAAGTCTTCGTTTGTCACCAGTGCCTTTGTCAAATAGAACAGAAGTTTTCACCGTTTGAACAACCTTCAGAAGCAGAATCAACACATCTGTATCATCTGATCATATCACAACTTGTGCAGCAGAAGGATGCTGAGCATCAACATGCAAAACGTGAAGAATGATTCTAGTTTCCGCTTCTTCCTGTGAAGAAAGCATTCACAAAGCATTCTCTGGAGTGACAGATACTGATTCGTCATCTGTGGTCATCAACCATTAACTAAAACACTCTTCACCTTTCATAGAGAAGACTTTCTTTCCTTGAAGTCGACTCATCCAAATGAAAGTTGAGAGAAATGTATTTGCTCAGTTGGTTCTCTTGAGTGAGCAACATGACACTGATGGCGAAAAAACATCTTCATTCCCATTATCACCTGTTCCATGGGCCTTAGCAACAGCTGATGGCTATCCAGTGAAAATCGACAAAGCCAAACTGCTGCACTACCTGGAGACTGATGCAAAGAAGCATGATTTGATCGCTGATGATGCTGTGCATACAGTAGATGGTAATGCCCTACTCCAGTGCCTCACTGGCATCCCCGATACATTTGAGAAGCTAGCTGAGAAGGTTTCTGTGATGCTTCCACATTCGGAAAGAGTGGAGTTTGTCACAGATTCATAACAAGAAAGACTCCATCAAGTGATTAGAGAGAGACAGAAGATGAACAGCTCATTTTTGGTTCAGGGTCCAAATTATAAAACCCCATCTGACTGGAAATCGTTTGTGTCCAATCCCAAGCACAAAAGGCAATTGATACAACTGATCTTTGATGAATGATGTACTGACAAATACACAATTCAACTTCAGTGGAAAAAAAGTCTTCTTTATGAAAGGTGAAGAGTGTTTTTTGTTGATGACCACAGATGGCGAATCAGTATCTGTCACTCCAGAGAATGCTTTGTGTTCATCACAGGAAGAAGCGGAAACTAGAATCATTCTTCACGTTTTGCATGTTGATGCTCAGCATCCTTCTGCTGCACAAGTTGTGATATGATCAGATGATACAGATGTGTTGATTCTGCTTCTGAAGGTTGTTCAAACGGTGAAAACTTCTGTTCTATTTGACAAAGGCACTGGTGACAAACGAAGACTTCTGGATGTACAAAGTATCATCAATCTGAAAGGGTCCACTCTGTGCAATGTCCAGCCAGCCCTTCATGCATTTACAGGACGTGATACCACCAGTGCCTTTGTCAAATGCGGCAAAGTTCTCCCCATTGAGCTTCTCGAATCTCACCCTGAATTTGTGAATGCTTTATCCAAGATAGGACTTTCTGATGAGATAGCTACTGACTTGTTGAGGTCTTTGGACTCCTTTGTCTGTCATATATATGGTCAAGTCACAAACAATGTAAGTGAGGCTCGCTACCAAATCTTCATGAAGAAGTTAAAACCCAAGGGAGGACAGACTATGACAAGCTATGATGATGTAGACATGAGACTCCTTCCACCTTGCAGAGACTCCCTACACATGCACATGCAGCGTGCGATCACCAGGCCTTGATCTTGGTCAATGCTGACAAGAATCACCCTAGTGTTGCTCACCCTGTGGGCTAAGGGTGGCTGAAAGGGGGAGTAAATGCTCTGAAATGTCAATGGACCATAGGCAACATCCTTCCACAAGAGTTGACAGACATAATATCCAGCAAGAACTTAGATTTGAGTAGAATGGAGGATTCAGACGAAGTTGAGATTGAGAGTCTTCTGGACACAATCTATGATGATTTGGCATAAAGGTACATAAATATAAGTAATGGTAACTCAATGTTATAAAAAGCCAAAGTGAGAATAAACCACCATGCTTTAAGTATAGCTGTAACATTAATTTTGATCATTTTAGAGCAATTGAAGAAATAATACGTTCTTTAACCAACTGCCAACTAGACAGTGTAGAAAAACAGCATTCAAGTCTGATTTCCCCTTAGACACAATGCATTTTTCAAATTTAAAGTCTTCCTGTGCCTCTAACTAAATAATAAATGTTAGATATTTTCATTGTTCCTAATAAAGGGCAGTTATTAGAATGTATTTTGTGAAAAAAAGAAAAAACTCATTTTTCCAAATTTTTACCCCCTGGCCCCCCTCTTGGGGGGTCAGGGCATGAAAAATCCCCAGCACCCAGACTACAATAAACCATCTCAAAGTCTTTTCATGCTTTAAGTATAGCTGTAACATTAATTTTGATCATTTTAGAGCTATTGAAACAAGAATACCTTCTTAAAACAATTGCCCACTAGAAAGTGTAGAAAAACAGCTATAAAGTTTAATTTTTCCCTTAGACGCAATGCATTTTTCAAAGTAAATGTCTTCCTGTACCTATAACTAATCAATAAACTTTAAATATTTTTATAGTTCCTGATAGAAAGCAGTTATTAGAATGTATTTTGTGAAAAAAGCAAAAACTAATTTTCCCAAATTTTTCCCACCCTGACCCCCTTTGGGGGGTCACTGCGGAAAAATCCCCGCACCCAGCCTGCAAACACCTGGAATTTGAATGTACATATGATAAGCTTTCAAAAAAATATAGTCTTCAAAATTCCCCAGGGGGAGGGTCACCTATATCAGCCCATGGACTAAAACCAGGGAGACTATAAGACGTTGTAGATTATCCCTGATCAAACCACCTCTTGGTTAGTCAACACATCTGTGGTCTGGATTACACCTTGACCACTTTGGTGATGGCCGCGAGCAGGAATACGGCGCCCCGGGACGGAACTCTGCACAGCAAACAGTTGCCAAAGTCTTTGACACCATTAACCCCATTGGCATGATCAAAGCGTACACAACTATCGGACATGATTTTAATTTTAGTGAGTCTCATTACTGTGTTATCCTAAATGGATGTAATTTACCATCTTATCTGTTCATTGATATCAGTTTTTAATATATTTATTGTAGTATTGTTACGTGTTTCCTGAAGGGACAGCTTTACCCATACACTACTAGTATACCAAACAGAAGTCTGTGTGAAACCAATAAACAAGAAAGAAATGTTATATGATTAACAACTGTATTCTGAAAATAACCATGTTTGCTAATCAATACAAATGAGTGAAAAGAAAGTACAAAAAGTGCAGCAGTATGCAATGGCATGGCACTACAATTACAATATATAATATATAACATAACAATAATATAAATAATAGCAGGGGTAACAGTAGTATAGGCAATGGTAATAATACTTAACAGCAGCGGATAACAGCAGTTAAACTACCTCTATAGGCCTAGATATCCAGGACAAAAAATAATCTTCACACCAGCTCTGGTCTTGCTGGAATGAGTGATCATAGAGGCATGTGGTTGCCCTCTAATATTGTTGCCCTCTAATATTGTTCGCACACCTATCAGAGACGTTTATACTGTCACTTTGGATTAGTCTATTGCGTTAACACTTGACTCTAAAGCGTCTAAATTGTAATTACCACATCACTGCTTACATTGTAAAATGTAATACATTCCTGACAACTAATTATTGTTAAGGCACACATACTGATCGATCTTAACAGAAACAATAGTTCAACAAAAAATTACACTGAAGGCGCATATTTCTGGACATGATGTCAACTCATGGACCCTGTGTAAATGAGACATGGAGATCCGAATGATTACATACACTAGCGGATTCAGAGTGGGGTGCAGATCCCCTCCCCTATTATCGCTGATAAATCTCAGACACGTATTATCGAATTGTGAGTAGTTTGTTCACTCTCACAAAAGAACATTTTCCCAACATTCGACCACATCCGACAAAAACTTCCATAAAAATTTCATTAGTAAAACCCTGTTGTACAACCATTGTGGATCACCACCTTGGAAAACAGCACCACTTTGAACTGAACCATCATGACTGTCTGCCAATGACATACAGTATGTATGTTAACCAGACGTAAGTTACTTTCACTGTCTCTTCTTCTGTTCATCCCTCCAGTCGCTGTTCAGGACATACCCCAGGGCAAGACACAAACCAGCCGGGAACAGGGCCTTAGCGTACATCCCGATATTGAACTGAGAAATTGTTGCTCCCACCATGACCACCATCAAGCCGCCAGTACTTACAACCTTGACCTTCCCTGTTCCAAGCATCATACCCAGACCGAGGCTGACTTCCAATACACCAACGAAGAACATGTAGGTCGCTGGGTCAAGACGCGGTCCCACGATATTGGCCGGGAACACGTTGGCGAACTTGACGAACTCTTGTCTCTGGATAATACAGATCAACGTCATTTGTGACATCGTAACGGCGCCTGCTCAGATCTACTTAAGATAAAATATATAAGTGTGTAGCAAAGTTCCAGCCACAACGGTTCTGTCTGTTAATGGAAAATATGGCAGCGGCAAAAGAGGATGCGGACATCTAATGTTTTCACAACTATATGCAATGACAAATATCATAAATTAGAAAATTATATTGAGAGAGGTCACGACAGACAAGAAAATGTTACATGTATAAAGGGTGGAACAAAATGGTACATAAAATTGGGGAGGGAGTGGGGTGGGTCTTTGCAAAATATATTATTGCTAACTGCATCTACCCATCTCCCTCATATTATGAGATGAATACATAGCCCCTGCAAATGTTGATTGTCTCACCATTTCTTGATAGACGCTGCCTATGATAGGATACAGTTTCACGGCTCCCGCAAACACATAGAGTGCAGACAGGAGGGTTGACGTCACTCGGCGGGCTGTCGTCTGTGTCATGGCGGTTCACAAAGAACTGGAATGTTCGAATTCGATGAAACATTTATGTGGAGAAATACGAGAAAGTACGGACACTGAGATACTGCGAAAAGCATCAGTGTTGAGAAACAGTATAAACAATGAAATACTGCGAGATAGTATAAACACTGAGATACTGTGAGGCAGTATAAACAATGAGATACTGTGAGGCAGTATAAACACTGAAATACTGTGAGACAGTATAAACACTGAGATACTGTGAGACAGTATAAACACTGAGATACTGTGAGACAGTATAAACACTGAGATACTGTGAGACAGTATAAACACTGAGATACTGTGAGACAGTATAAACACTGAGACACAGTGAGTGAGTGAGTGAGTTTAGTTTTACGCCGCACTCAGCAATATTCCAGCTATATGGCGGTGGTCTGTAAATAATCGAGTCTGGACAAGACAATCCAGTGATCAACAGCATGAGCATCAATCTGCGCAATTGGGAACCGATGACATGTGTCAACCAAGTCAGCGAGCCTGACCACCGGATCCCGTTAGTCGCCTCTTACGACAAGCATAGTCGCCTTTTATGGCAAGCACATGGGTGAGACACTGTGAGGCAGTATCATGGGTGAGACACTGTGAGGCAGTATAAACACTGAGATACTGCGAGACAGTATAAACACTGAGATACTGTTAGGCAGTATAAACACTGAGATACCGTGAGGCAGTATAAACACTGAGATACCGTGAGGCAGTATAAACACTGAGATACTGTGAGGCAGTATAAACACTGAGATACCGTGAGGCAGTATAAACACTGAGATACCGTGAGGCAGTATAAACACTGAGATACTGTGAGGCAGTATAAACACTGAGATACTGTGAGGCAGTATAAACACTGAGATACTGTGAGGCAGTATAAACACTGAGATACTGTGAGCCAGTGTAAACACTGAGATACTGTGAGGCAGTATAAACACTGAGATACTGCGATACGCTTACTTGAGACAGTATAAACACTGAAATACTGTGAGCCAGTATAAACACTGAAATACTGTGAGGCAGTATAAACACTGAGATACTGAGAGAAAGTATCAACACTGAGATACTGTGAGGCAGTATAAACACTAAGATACTGCGAGACAGTATAAACACTGAGATACTGCGAGAAAGTGTGAGGCAGTATAAACACTGAGATACTGCGAGACAGTATAAACACTGAGATACTGTGAGACAGTATAAACACTGAGATACTGTGAAGCAGTATAAACACTGAGATACTGTGAGACAGTATAAACACTGAGATACTGTGAAGCAGTATAAACACTGAGATACTGCAATACAGTATAAACACTGAGATACTGTGAGACAGTATAAACACTGAGATACTGTGAGACAGTATAAACACTGAGATACTGTGAGACAGTATAAACACTGAGATACTGTGAGACAGTATAAACACTGAGATACTGTGAGGCAGTATAAACACTGATATACTGCAAGACAGTATAAACAATGAGATACTGTGAAACAGTATAAACACTGAGATACTGCAAGACAGTATAAACACTGAAGATACTGTGAGATAGTATAAACACTGAGATACTGAGCAGTATAAGCTGCCAGTATAAACACTGATGCATACTGTGAGCCAGTATAAACACTGAAATACTGTGAGGCAGTATAAACACTGAGATATACTGTGAGCGAGACAGTGTGAGACAGTATAAACACTGAGATACTGTGAGGCAGTATATTGTATAAACACTGAGATACTGTGAGACAGTATAAACACTGGAGATGCTTGAGAGACTGAGACACTGTGAGACAGTATAAACACTGAGATACTGTGAGGCAGTATAAACACTGAGATACTGTGAGGCAGTATAAACACTGAGATACTGTGAGCCAGTATAAACACTGAGATACTGTGAGCCAGTATAAACACTGAGATACTGTGAGACAGTATAAACACTGAGATACTGTGAGGCAGTATAAACACTGAGATACTGTGAGACAGTATAAACACTGAGATACTGTGAGCCAGTATAAACACTGAGATACTGTGAGGCAGTATAAACACTGAGATACTGCAAGACAGTATAAACACTGAGATACTGTGAGGCAGTATAAACACTGAGATACTGTGAGGCAGTATAAACACTGAGATACTGTGAGACAGTATAAACACTGAGATACTGTGAGGCAGTATAAACACTGAGATACTGTGAGACAGTATAAACACTGAGATACTGTGAGACAGTATAAACACTGAGATACTGTGAGGCAGTATAAACACTGAGATACTGTGAGAGATACTGCGAGACAGTATAAACACTGAAATACTGTGATAGTGAAGACAGTATAAACACTGAGATACTGTGAGCTGAGCAGTATAAACACTGAGATACTGTGAGACGGTATAAACACTGAGATACTGTGAGGCAGTATAAACACTGAGATACTGTGAGCACGAGGAGATACTGTGAGACAGTATAAACACTGAGACACTGATACTGTGAGTATAAGTATAAACACTGAGATACTGTGAGGTGAGCCAGTATAAACACTGAGATACTGTGAGACAGTATAAACACTGAGATACTGTGAGGCAGTATAAACACTGAGATACTGTGAGACGAGTATAAACACTGAGATACTGTGAGACAGTATAAACACTGAGATACTGTGAGGCAGTATAAACACTGAGATACTGTGAGGCAGTATAAACACTGAGATACTGTGAGACAGTATAAACACTGAGATACTGTGAGAGCCAGTATAAACACTGAGATACTGTGAGAGACAGTATAAACACTGAGATACTGTGAGACAGTATAAACACTGAGATACTGTGAGACAGTATAAACACTGAGATACTGTGAGACAGTATAAACACTGAGATACTGAGTGAGACAGTATAAACACTGAGATACTGTGAGGCAGTATAAACACTGAGAGATACTGTATGAGACAGTATAAACACTGAGATACTGTGAGCTGTGAGTATAAACACTGAGATACTGTGAGACAGTATAAACACTGAGATACTGTGAGCCAGTATAAACACTGAGATACTGTGAGGCAGTATAAACACTGAGATACTGTGAGGCAGTATAAACACTGAGATACTGTGAGGCAGTATAAACACTGAGATACTGTGAGGACAGTATAAACACTGAGATACCGTGAGACAGTATAAACACTGAGATACTGTGAGGGTATAAAGTATAAACACTGAGATAGATGCGTGAGACAGTATAAACACTGAGATACTGTGAGCCAGTATAAACACTGAGATACTGTGAGGCAGTATAAACACTGAGATACTGTGAGACAGTATAAACACTGAGATACTGTGAGGCAGTATAAACACTGAGATACTGTGAGACAGTATAAACACTGAGATACTGTGAGGCAGTATAAACACTGAGATACTGTGAGACAGTATAAACACTGAGATACTGTGAGGCAGTATAAACACTGAGATACTGTGAGACAGTATAAACACTGAGATACTGTGAAGCAGTATAAACACTGAGATTCTGTGAGATAACTGCAAGCAGTATAAACACTGAGATACACTGACTGAGAGATACTGATACTGTGAGACAGTATAAAACACTGTGAGATACTGTGAGAGACAGTATAAACACTGAGATACTGTGAGAGACAGTATAAACACTGAGATACTGTGAGACAGTATAAACACTGAGATACTGTGAGACAGTATAAACACTGAGATACTGTAAGACAGTATAAACACTGAGATACTGTGAGACAGTATAAACACTGAGATACTGTGAGACAGTATAAACACTGAAATACTGCAAGACAGTATAAACACTGAGATACTGTGAGATAGTATAAACACTGAGATACTGCAAGACAGTATAAACACTGAGATACTGTGAAGCAGTATAAACACTGAGATACTTAGTCAGGATACACATTGTGTCATTCCGCTAGTTAGTACTGATGTACTCTATCACGCCATCATCCACGTCACCAAGCTGACAATGCAATCCATTCAGCGAGCACAGGCTTCTTGCGACCAGTTCTAATCAGAAATACCACAGCTGTCAAGGCAATACACAAACAACAGCTGCTTGCAAGGCAAACACGGAAGGAACATGCGATATCATCAAAAGATTACAGCACATATGCCATACCTTTCCTAAACCGATACGCGAGGACAGTATTCTTGGTATAATAGTTTCACATGTCCGTTTATTTAACAAACTGGTTTGTATTGACCTTGTCTGGAGCCATGCTGTATACCAAGTCGTGGCTTCCCCTACTGTAAGGCTAGCTGATAATAGTTTCGTGAGGTGACTGCACAGAGTTGTCACCGTTATGATAACTGTTATGTTTCTAAATGATCTGTAGTGTAAATTCAGTTGAATCATTCTATTTTGCAATGTTGTCGAGCTACCTACCTGATGCGAAGGCGGCAGTGTGGCGATCGACGCGTGCAGTGACTGTTATCATGCAGAATGTTGCGGAAGTACTCGGAATCATGCACAACTCCGCATGAGCACAGCACTAATGTACATAGGGTTTCTTTATGTCGCAGTCAAGATCATTGCTCTTAAAACAAAGTCAGATGAAACCTAGTTGAAGATTGGTCAAGCATATTTACGACGAAAGCCTCCAATAGTCTGAATATGGAACAGTGGTTTTCAACTGAGGTTCATCGTCCAATTACTCTGGAACAGAGAGCCACGTGTATTTCATAATCGATTATGATCGTTTGCAGTAATACACAGAAAAGACGCACGCACGCACGCACGCACGCACGCACGCACGCACGCACGCACACACACACACACACACACACACATATATATATATATATATATATATATATATATTGTACGGCCTCGAACCAGCCCCACGTGCAAAATTAATCGCGACTTTTCCAACCATATCCTGCACATAGGGACAGCGGCTGCTAGTACTAGCCCGGACATACGACGGGGTTTGGTGCTGAGCTGTTAAAAAGTATCATGGTACAGTTTAACATGGATTCACACGACGTAAACTGTCGACCAGTCCTTATTCTGTCACGTTATTGCCGAGCGCCATACACGACGCCTGCAAGGGATACAACCTTCTCTACGGGCAGACACCCGATCTCCTTGACCACGCAACAAATTACCCAAACATACTGAACGATTTGATAGGGCTACCAACACATAACACCTTTAAGCATCATTTGCATGCTATTTTGGGGATCGAACCACCGGTGTTACCTACCTGAGCAGACCCTGTACCCACTAACCCACTGAGGCGGTCAAAACACAGTGTGACACACTGCAGTGAACGTATCAACAAGTTTGCAATATATACACATGGAAAAAAGTATCGCAACCCCCATATAGTCATGTATATTCATATCATAATTATGTTTGTTGGATTATTTTGATCCTTCGGGCACACCATACATATATTTTAGATAGGCACGTGCAAAGGTGAGTATCACGTGCACTGTAAAGTGGAGTGTTTAGAACAATCCAGTGTGTGTGTGTGTGTGTGTGTGTGTGTGTGTGTGTGTGTGTGTGCGTGCGTGTTCATTGATGGTATGAGGTGCCTCTACACAACTGTAAATTTGACCTGATGACGATCAGACATATTCTGAATGGACAACGCTACATCACTGACTCACTAGACGAGTTGTTGTACCACATTTGGATGATCATCCTCTGAACACAAGGCCAGTCTTCATGGACGATGAACCACAACGTGCAAGCTGATGAATTCTTGCCTCATGAGGTGGTAGCAGCTCTGCCTTGACCGACAATTTGATAGAGCATATTGGGGATATTCTGGGTCGCAGAATGCGCTAGAGAGATCCTCTGTGAAATCTGTGTGTGGATCAAGCCCTCCACCAAGACATGAACGCAATGCCCCAACGTCAAAGTCAACGTCTGATACAGACAGTGAGGACTAGGGTCAGGGATGTTATTGCAGTTAGCGGAGGGTATACCAGATAATGACATTGTACTCGGCTATTGATACCTATATAATTTCCTGAGGATTGTATGCACAAATCCTGAAACTGACGACGCTTGTTAACGTCATATTTCCATAGTTATTAGTGAGTGAGTGAGTATGGTTTTACGCCGCTTTTAGCAATACTCCAGCAATATCACGGCGGGGACACCAGAAAAGGGCTTCGCACATTGTACCCATGTGGGGAATCGAAGCCGGGTCTTTGGCGTGACGAGCCAACGCTTTAACCACTAGGCTAAACACACACCCCACTACACCCCCACTGCCCCCAATAGTTATTAGCATTTCAAAATGAGTTAAGTTTTTACATGTTTTTGTCCTTTTTGGGTGTAAATTTGCCATTTAATTCTTCCCTGAAGATCAGTTTGTAAAAATGAGGTCTGGTTCTTTTGCTGTGGTTAAGTATGATATTGCTGGAATATATTGCTGTTTCCATAATCATAAAATGTCACTCAATGTCACTGTCACGCAAACCCTGTCTGTACCAGATAACTATTAAATGAAGAAGTAGAGGAGTTCGGACTATCCATCTCGAGCCAGATATATTTTAGTAATATACTGAGGGAAAAATAATAAGGGATCACATGAAAGCACAAGGGTCCCTTTATTTGTTTCCAGGTTTCGTCACAAGCGTTGTATCGCATAGCTTGTGAAGAAACCTGGAAATTAATAAAGGAACACTTGTGCTTTCATGTGATCCCTTATTTTTTCCCCTCAGTATATATCGCAAATATATCCGACATCTACGAGGAGTGGCTGAACCGTTATTCAAACACCACCCTTCTATGTAAGTACGAAACAACTACATGTTGTATGTGCTTTGAAAACCAGATGTTATATGGATGGGAACTGTTACCTATTTTACTCCTATAAAAACAAAAATAATAAAAAAGCCGAGGAATACGAGAAAAAACAGCACTGTCGGAAAGTACTGTGACCAATCTGATTGCCACATAGTTCTCAATAAAGGTTGTCGTGATTGTTTGAACCGCCCCTTGCGACCACCTCAGTGCCAGGTGTAGCCACCTCAGTGCCAGGTGTAGCACCTCAGTGCCAGGTGTAGCCACCTCAGTGCCAGATGTAGCCACCTCAGTGCCAGGTGTAGCCACCTCAGTGCCAGGTGTAGCCACCTTAGTGCCAGATGTAGCCACCTCAGTGCCAGGTGTAGCCACCCCTCGCATGGGTAACGTCGAATACTCAGCACCAGAATCCAGTGTCATTCGTCATGGAGTGCCAGCATCCTCTGCCTCTATCTCCACGTGTAAGGTAGTCCCAGTGATGTATGATGGGATCATATCGGGGCTCCTTGCGGGCCATGGTAATGTTTTGATGTCGTCCTCCATATGTGCGATGACGACCCGAGAACGGTGAGGCCCAGCGTACATACAAAAAGCGGTACGCCGAGGTATCCAGTTATTTCTGTTGATAACGTTGCTCATTGACTCTCCTAGGTTCTGTCGAAGCAGATTAGGACACTATTGGCCATTAACGGTCGTTTGAGGAGCAATTCCGTCAGCAGGATTCCAAGGAATACCACAGAACCGAAGACATGCATCTGGAAGTTCTGTCCAAGGGGTATAAGCCTTGGAATCCAGCTAGCTGAAATATATTGTCAAGCTCAGTTTTTTCAACAGAGATATTCCCACATATTACCCACGGTAGTAAGTCGCCCATCCTCCAAACACATATCATGTGTACTGTCATGACGTTCACGGACATGGCGGGCCAAGATCTCAGTGATCTTTGACTATCTTCGAGGCTCGGCCATCATTCTTTGGGTCTGGTGCCTACGTTTCTCCAATCCCGTCAATACATCGTCAATACATCAGGGGTTTGGGGACACTATGTTCCTCTTTCATCCGTGAATAGTCAGTACATCACGGGTATGTATACGCTACTGTCCAAACCTGTGATTACGTTCAACAAGTAATTCAGTATATTTGGTCAAGAAATAAAATGCCTGATACTCAAGCAACATGTGTAGAAGATGGCTGAACGATGGCATCATCTCTTAGACGGGACATATTGTAATTTGTACCACGTGATCTAAGCACTCTTGGGACCTGATTTCCCTCGACCTGACAACACAGCGAAAAGGTTTGTAGTGTATACAAACCCGCGATGAACGTGGCGATACTGTTCGCCTTCAGCCGCTACTGTGGACTTGTGCGATGTACTTACTTAGTACCTATGACTTCGGTATTGAGCTCCTTATAGGCCCTCGGTAATAATTTAAGCTTAGTCAGTTGTAAGCTGATTAAACGATGTCCGGAGATCTGAGCTGGCAACGCCCAGAGCATCACAAGTGTCAAAGTTGATGAAAACGGCGAGAGTCAATATGGTGGTGCAAAGTATTTCGTAAATGTAATACTGAAAGAAAGACTAAACAAACATATATTGTACTGTGGGTTGGCGAAGGCCACATGATCTAGCGATGTCCCGCGATTTGAACGATATATTAGATAAAATTTGAAAGAAAAAAAGATTTAATTTATGTTTTAACGTTTTCAAAAAACGAAACAAAGATAGTTTCATTTGGAAAATTTACTAAACGCCAAAAGAAACGTTACCCTCCTTCCTTAATGACGGAGGTACCTATCTTCATCTGGCGTTGTGATGCGTGGACGTCCATTTCTTGGTCTGTCTACGGTGACCCCAGTCTGTCTGAAGCCCTGAATAAGTCTAATAACCGTGATACGGTGGCGTCCGTGGGCGTTGGCAACAGCATTGTATGTCGACCCCATCTGCACCATCCCAATGGCTCTTTCTCTCTCTTCAGCTGTTAATCGTGGCATATTTCTCGTACTTGTGTATCATATCATGCATTCTAGTCTCTCTTTATGTGTAAACAGAAAATGGAAAAATGTTACTTTGCAAGCAAACATATTAACAAAGATAATTTTTGATGTTCCAAAAACATTTTTTCACGATATCAAAGACACGTTTTACTTGTTTTCACTAATGGAAATTAGCAGAAAATGTTTTAAAAGACTGAAATCATAGGAGTGATAATGTTAAAATTTTACACACTCTACAACAGTTGTTTCTTGTTTTAACAGTTGAAAAATGGTGACTTTAAATGGTTTATCTTTGTCTCAAAGCAGAATTTTATTTCAACCTTTCTTTTGGACATCTAAATCACTGTTATTGGTTTATTTCGGCATGGACGAATATAGGACAATTTAACTCTTCTGAAAAATATGCATTTCACCTAAATATGAATGCATTTGAGAATTGTTTTCGTGATTTGCACAAAGCTGTGTTGTTAAGCTTTCTTCTAAACTAATACCTTCTAACATGTCTTTGATAGTTTTGAAGTAATTCATAAAGGTAGGAGGGTAACTGTTCTTTTGGGGCTTAGTGTACACGATAAACCTTTACAATCTTGATTCATTTGAGCATTTCTATCTGCAGATGAAAGTTTATGTAAAGTTGTTTGATTTTTAAGACCGTCCATTTGATCATTCTCAAACAGCCATCATAGACTTCCTTTAATCAATATCTGAAGTATTAGAACTAGATAGAATTAATTAAGCTGTCATGTGAACCACAGGCATTAAGAAGGTAAAACCTGTCAAGGGTCACTAATCCCAGCTGTTCTCTGATCTCTCCCCGGGCCCTTTCCTGACTAAAATGCCATATTTAATATGCTTTTAAGCCACAAAATGATTCCGTTTTGATGTAGCTCCATGTGTCGGGTTACATTGCCGGTTTAGGATTCAGAGAGGTTGGAAGTCATCTCACGCTCTGTCTCCCACAATTCATCACTGAGTGTGGATGAAGTAACAACTGCACTTTGGATCATTCACAATGGTGTGTTATAGGGGAAGTATATCAGCGAACGTTCTGAGGCTGGGAGGAGATTCACCTGCCTCTGCACCATGTATCATCGCGTTCAAGAGCCTGCACGAACCTAGGCATGCGTGTGTCATCAGGGTGTTTATTATATTTCAGAACGTGGATCTCGTTGCCTTGGAAACCTGCACCTTATACTAAAGAAATTCTGTAGGTTTCTACGAGTGTTGGGCTGTGAAGTGACGGGATTGAAGGATGGTTTAGGTCGGATTCAGTAAATCCTAGCCACATTACAGCGTTCCTAGCAGGGGAAGCAACCCGCACCTTTGTCATTAAACTAGCAGGGGAGGAGGGAAGATACTAGAGAACAAGTGAAGTCTCTTATGTGTAACCGAGATCCTTCTTTATCCAGAAGGCTAGTGATATAGTTTAGTGGTTAAAGCGTAGATTGTCACAGGTAAACTCCAAAATATGAACCCTTTCTAGTGAGATCTTTTACTTTCCAGATTCGAGCAAAGGAGACATTATCGATTTGTGGACATGGATCAACTGGCGAGGGCACTGTACCTGCGTATTCATGATTATCAAGTAAGGCATAGGAACTGAACTGATGCCATGAATGCATTCGCTTGTCTCGCGTTGGAAGACAATGATACAACGGCAAACGTCACCGACGTCGACAACAACACCTCCTTCCCCGATGATGAGTGGCATAGACTAATTAGGAAGTATAACCTACAACCACTTTCGGAGAGGGGTTCGTTTGCTTGTGGGATGTATCTACTTATTGTTGGTAAGTCGCTCTGTGTGTGTGTTGTCTGTCTGTGTGTGTGTGTTGTCTGTGTGTGTGTTTTGTGTCTCTGTGTGTGTTGTCTGTCTCTGTGTGTGTTTTGTGTCTCTGTGTGTGTGTTGTGTCTGTCTCTGTGTGTGTGTTGTCTGTCTCTGTGTGTGTTTTGTGTCTGTGTGTGTGTTGTGTGTCTGTGTGTGTGTTTTGTGTCTCTCTGTGTGTGTGTTGTCTGTCTCTGTGTGTGTGTTGTCTGTGTGTGTGTGTTTTGTGTCTGTGTGTGTGTGTTGTCTGTCTGTGTGTGTGTTTTGTGTCTCTCTGTGTGTGTTGTCTGTCTCTGTGTGTGTTGTCTGTCTCTGTGTGTGTGTGTTTGTGTCTCTGTGTGTGTGTTTGTGTGTCTCTGTGTGTGTGTTGTCTGTCTGTGTGTGTGTTGTGTGTCTGTGTGTGTGTGTGTTGTGTGTCTGTGTGTGTGTTTGTGTCTCTCTGTGTGTGTTGTCTGTCTGTGTGTGTGTGTTTGTGTCTCTCTGTGTGTGTTGTCTGTCTGTGTGTGTGTGTGTGTTTGTGTGTCTCTGTGTGTGTGTTTGTGTCTGTGTGTGTGTGTTGTCTGTCTGTGTGTGTGTTTTGTGTCTCTGTGTGTGTGTTGTCTGTCTCTGTGTGTGTTGTCTGTCTGTGTGTGTGTGTTGTCTGTGTGTGTGTTTTTGTGTCTGTGTGTGTGTGTTGTCTGTCTGTGTGTGTGTTGTGTCTCTCTGTGTGTGTTGTCTGTCTCTGTGTGTGTGTTGTCTGTCTGTGTGTGTGTTTTGTGTCTCTCTGTGTGTGTTGTCTGTCTCTGTGTGTGTTTTGTCTGTCTGTGTGTGTGTTTTGTGTCTCTGTGTGTGTTGTCTGTGTCTGTGTGTGTGTTTTGTGTCTCTGTGTGTGTTTTGTGTCTCTCTGTGTGTGTTGTCTGTCTGTGTGTGTGTTGTCTGTGTGTGTGTTTTGTGTCTCTGTGTGTGTGTTGTCTGTCTCTGTGTGTGTTTTGTGTCTCTCTGTGTGTGTGTTGTCTGTTTCTGTGTGTGTGTTGTCTGTCTGTGTGTGTGTTTTGTGTCTCTCTGTGTGTGTTGTCTGTCTCTGTGTGTGTTTTGTCTGTCTGTGTGTGTGTTTTGTGTCTCTGTGTGTGTGTTGTCTGTCTCTGTGTGTGTTTTGTGTCTCTGTGTGTGTGTTGTCTCTCTGTGTGTGTTGTCTGTCTCTGTGTGTGTGTTTGTGTCTCTGTGTGTGTGTTGTCTGTCTCTGTGTGTGTTTTGTGTCTCTGTGTGTGTTTTGTGTCTCTGTGTGTGTCGTCTGTCTCTCTGTGTGTGTTCGTCTGGCTCTGTGTGCCTGTACCTGCGCCTGTGTGTGCGTGCGTGCGCGCGCGCGCGTGTGTGTATGTGTTTGTGTATGGTGTAAGCTGATACCTATTTTCTGTATTCGATATGCAATTTAAATAAACAAGTCAGTTCTAGCTCTTCAGTCAAGCACCCGTGAAGGTTACAATATTGATCTTCAGTAACCCATGCTTGTCGTCAGAGGCGACTAAAGGGATCGGGTGGTCAGGCTTGCTGACTTGGTTGACACATGTCATCGGTTGCGCAGATCAACCAGTTGCGCAGATCGATGCTCATGCTGTTGATCACTGGATTGTCTGGTCCAGACTCGATTATTTACAGATCGCCGCCATATAGCTTGAATATTGCTGAGTGCGGCGTAAAACTAAACTCACTCACACGCTTCAGTCAAGCAAGGAAATGAGAGCGTCCCTTGAAGGAAACAGAAAGCCCCAGAAAGTATAACTCCTGTACTGAAGCCTGAAGCAATATATAGAGAAAGTGGTTGGTTGTTGTGGGGCCTGAGCTCTCATTGATCAGAACACTCTTTGGATTCCTTCTTGTGGGCAACTTTGCTGTCTTCCATGTAGACTGTAGTCATCCATATAGATTGGATGGATTACGGTCCATATTCCAGGTATATTCGTTCCACTGGGCAGCTTTGTAGTCTTCCATGCCGACATGGGTTATGGTTGAATTTTCTATTATCCATTATATTACCTACACCGGGCAACTCTATAGTCATCCATGTAGACCAGCATATGTTCATATTCCAGGTATAATTGCTACGATCGGCAACGCTCTAGTCATCCATGTAGACCAGCATATGTTCATATTCCAGGTATAATTGCTACGATCGGCAACTCTATAGCCATCCATGTAGACCAGCAGGTATAATTGCTACGATCGGCAACTCTATAGTCATCCATGTAGACCAGCATATGTTCATATTCCAGGTATAATTGCTACGATCGGCAACTCTATAGTCATCCATGTAGACCAGCATATGTTCATATTCCAGGTATAATTGCTACGATCGGCAACTCTATAGTCATCCATGTAGACCAGCATATGTTCATATTCCAGGTATAATTGCTACGATCGGCAACGCTTTAGTGCTCCATGAAGACGAGCATATGTTCATATTCCAGGTATAATTGCTACGATCGGCAACTCTATAGTCATCCATGTAGACCAGCATATGTTCATATTCCAGGTATAATTGCTACGATCGGCAACTCTATAGTCATCCATGTAGACCAGCATTTGTTCATATTCCAGGTATAATTGCTACGATTGGCAACTCTATAGTCATCCATGTAATGTACAAGTTCAAGAAGATGAGAAACAACCCGCAGAACTTCCTCATCCTAAACCTGTCAATGGCAGACCTTGGGATCTCCGTCGTCGGTTACCCTCTCACCACCGCTTCCTGCTTCGCTAACCGCTTCCTGTTTGGTGAAATTGGTTGCGTCATCCAGGGCTTCCTGACCTTCACCTTGGCACTGTGTGCCATGAAGACCATGACTTGCCTGAGCGTCTACAGGTACATCACCATATGTCGGCCGCATCTCAGTGAGTTCTTAACAATATACCCTGTCCTCGTATAAAAACAAACAGCTCCCAGGAAACCACCAAATGTCTGTATTAGATAAAACTCCCAGCTTGTTTCCCTGTTTAAAAAAATAAAATGCCAGCAAATGGCAAGTCACAATTGTATGAAACTATATAAATTTATTTATTCGCCAGGAGAGGTTATTGAAATCCCAGAGTTTCTCTATTGCATTTGAAGTTTATGATGATATACATTTCTGGAAATAAGTGGTTGTTTATTTTATGCCACCTCTAACACCTGTCAGATTATGTTCAGTAACACTGTACATCAATGCAGTAATTAATGCACAATACAGGTAAACATTCTAAACCAAGTTTCCAACTCACCAGAATGGCGCCTGAACATGGAGCTGACGAAGAAGGTCATCATCTTTCTGTGGTGTTATGCGCTGTTTTGGACATCACCCCCTCTAGTTGGCTTTAGTTCATATGTCTTCGAACCCTTCGGCACATCCTGTAGTGTAAACTGGACCCTTAAATCATGCCCCGGCATCTTCTACACCCACTGTCTCATTATCTTCTGCTACATCACCAACATCGCCATCATCGGATTTTGCTACCAGAGGGTCGTGGCGAAGACAGGAGAGCTGACTCGCAAGATAAACGCTAGTCGGGGAGTTCCTCTGAACATCAACGAAGCGCTTGAAGTCAGGTGGATGACCAAGGAGAGCAAGGTCACTCTGGTGAGGCTGGGGAAGTAGTACAAACATACAGCCACCTCCCTGTAGTTAGGAAGCGTGGATGAGACATGGTGAAAGTAAATCTGTAGGGAAGGCATACCATTATCCAAGAGGTACCAAATGACAGATCGTTTTTCATTTTCTGCAAAAAAACGTTAAAAAACCTTTTAGAGATATTATACCTCAATGTGTTGTGATGACTAATACATGTATATCGTTAACAAACATTACCCACATATGTGATTTTGGATATGAGTTTGCTAATGATTCCTTTAAAATAAAATGGAAGCTTTTCTGACATTGGACATCGAGAATATAGTTAGGCCGACTACTTTTTGACCGACCCTCGTAACACCCAGCGGACAGGACTTGATATTTGGTTGGTTGCATCGGAATGTCTTAATATGTGGTGGTCACGATTTAACGTTATCTCGAGGCTTCGACTTAATATGTGGTGGTCACGGTTTTACGTTATCTCGAGGCTTCGACTTAATATGTGCATGCCAAACATAGTAACTCACACACCTCTGCCTTCAGATCTCTGCTGAAACCATGTACAAAATGGTTTCACTGTTGCATTGCACTCTCAGGGTATAACCAACACATGTATAAAAGCAGCTCTGACAACAGGATTGTCTGGGTTGTGACCATATCTGGTCCCTCGATCGCATTAAGATAGAACACACCAACATGTATAGATCTGAAAATGTGTTTTGTATGTTAACTTTCTAAACACATTCTTAGTACAAGCAGCCACACACACATACGCATGCATGTCGTCATATGAGCGAAATATTCTCAACTGCGACGTTAAACCTCATCTCACCTAAACTCATTCTTACAGTGAACATACAATACCATGTCGACATGACACCTTAGAAATATTTTGCTAAATATCTGTGACTCCCGTTACAAATGTCACTTTTGCGAACACAAGTTATTGATGTTGATACCATTTCTTTAACGTCAGATGCCTGAAAACGTTGTGGAAGACTTGTGGGGTCTGTTTAAGTCGCAAGGCTGGCGTTGGGCTTGCAATGTAAATGCAGCCATTTAGTCTAGTTTCATCATTTACGGGGGCGGAGGGGTAGCCTAGTGGTTAAAGCGGTTGCTCGTCACGCCGAAGACCCGGGTTCGATTCCCCACATGAGTACAATGTGTGAAGCCCATTTCTGGTGTCTCCAGCCGTGATATTGCTGGAGTATTGCTAAAAGCGGCGTAAAACAAAGCTCACTCACTCATCATTTACGGGACAAGAAAATGCTTTTGAAATGGTATTTGTACTATCTTAAAGTTTTGACAGATCTACAGAGAATTTTCTTAGGTAACTGACTTTGTTGATGCTTGTCATCGTAAATCCATAAGGGGCGGTGGGGTAGACTAGTGGTTAAAGCGTTGGCTCGTCACGCCGACAACCCGGGTTCGAATCCTCACATGGGTACAATATGTGAAGCCTATTTCTGGTGTCCCCCGCCGTGATGTTGCTGGAATATTGGTAAAAGCGGCGTAAACCAAACTCAGTCAGTCAATCAGTAAATCCATGCTCATGACATCAGTCACTGATATGGTTAGTTGCAGACCGCCATCACATATCTGGAATATTGACCAGTTAAACAAACAAAGTTTTGAGCTGGTTCTCGAACGACCGTCTCTGCTTCAGATATCCATGTCAATGGTTGTATCATTCGCCATCATCTGGTTCCCCTATGCTCTACTGTCTCTCCTGGTGATCTACGGGGTAAAGGTACCGGTGGAGTTCACCACCCTCCCCACCATGTTCTGCAAGTCCTCGTGTATGCTCAACCCCATCATCTACTCGGTCTTCAACTCAGAGTTCCGGATGTATGTAACGCGCATGCTCACCCGGAAGCGCCAAGTCGGCGTTGAGATGACCAGACGTCAAACGTAAGTATATGACAGTGAAAGCTAAAGATGAAGAAAGACATACACACATACGCACACGCGTACACACACATGGTGATACGTAATGTATACCCAAATCACAACCAGCAGTAAATGTGCATAGTTATTCATTCAGTTCTGATTAGATACTCGCTTCCTTACTTCATTGCAAATTTACATATATTTTTAGAAGATACACTGCTGAGTAACCTTATTTCTTTCTGGTTAAGGAAGGAATTTTAGCTTAAGATGGATTCGACAAATATGATGGGTTGGGTTTAGAAAAATAAAATTTACAGTTAGATCAGTTACACCAGGCTAATACTTTTTCTGTTTAATATTCACTAAATCACAGGTTGGCAGGGTTATAATAAACGAAGATTCATCCACTCTTAGTTCGCATTTCAACATTTCCTAACCTGGGTGTGTCAAATTCTACTGCAGATAGAATGTTTCTGTATTTTCGTCAGGGCCTACGTGTTGATATTCAGATAAGACAGAGCATATCATTTGTACGTGTGGAAAGCCCGCTCTTATGCTTTGTGAATGTCACATTACAGGTGCTCTATAAACTCGACTTTAGTGTTGTATTATGCCACTTTCTGAGAGGTCATCAGCTAATCTTGAGGTTTTGTTTGAGGGTGTGGTTTATTAGCATGCCTTTTAGCATAAATTTTGTGATTTGGAAACATACTTGGTCTCAGGGTTAATGATGTTGAGGATTGCAGAAACTCCTGATATATCACGACTTGTATATTTGTAGTGCTTGGTTGTGAGAATATATTTTGCTGATCTTGTTTGCCACGAGCCTAGCACTTGTAATGACAATCTTGAAAATGTTGCAGGTATTTTTGCCTTTGTGTGTTGTAACCTTTGCCTGTGGTTAAGCAAATTACTTCTGAGAATGATTCCAGTTACGGTTTGACTGACACTTTGATAAATCAGTCTCTACGCCTGTCTAAATTTCCAAAGGAGAGTACTAAAATTCAGATAATAAAATAGACTATTCTATCCAGTTGGTTGAGTTACAGGCTAAAGGCCAATAACTACAAACGCTTGACAAAAGGACACTCTCTTGAAAAGCTTAGGGTGTACTGATAAATAAAGTACAGTGTGCTGATGAAGAAATGGAGGGCTTAGGTGTTTCTGCCGAGAATGAAAGGTGTTTTATTATTCTTCCATATCTACATAAAAATTATGTTTCGAGTTTGGCAGTTAAAGCTCCTTTGGCAGGTCATCAGGGTATTAGCTTGTGAGACAATTCTATCACATTTCTTCTATTATCAAGGGTTTGGTAAAGAGTCCTATGGTTGGATTATCTGGGATTATTCATGTCATGAATGAGTTGAGATGAATTTGTTGGAGTGTGTTTTATCCTGTCGGACTTTATGAAGCTTGTTAAGTGAGTGCTAGGATAAGTTGAAATAATCCGAGGACAAAATGAATGTACATTATAACAATAAAGTTGTGGTAGTTTTGGTGCTAGGTACTATGGTCTATATGTTGTTGATAGAAGGGTTAGTTTTACTGATAATATGAAAACACCAGGCTGTCGTAAAAATATACATCTTTGTCACGCCAATATGGTTAGAAAGATATGTGGATGTACTTGTTTCTCAGTACATATTGTATCATATTACTGGGGCGATGGTTAAAGCGTTCGCTCGTCACACCGAAGGCCGGGTTCGATTCCCCACATGGATACCATGTGTGAAGGCCATTTCTGGTGTCCCCCGCCGTGATGTTGCTGGAATATTGCTAAAAGCGGCGTAAAACCATACTCACCCACTCACTCACTGTATCAGATTATGATACCGATGAGAATTATGACTTTGTAAAGTTTGATGTCACTGCTGACTAGCCCTCAGCTAAGCAATTTTGGATTTTTTTGCTAATTGATTGTTTATAGGTTATTTGTCATCTGAGCAAAAATGTTCAATTGCCACAGATAATTGAAAAATTGCACTATTGTGCCAAACCCTCATAGAAGTCCCAGATACGGTAGAGAAATGAAAATGGTGAACCGACTCTTACTCAACACTATGAACAGAATTGGTCAAGTCCAATACGTTTGACATATTTGACCTTATTGAAGGGGTATTGGCAAATTCCACTGACTGAGTGTATCAAGTGGGTCTCGGCCTTTTGTAAGTCCAGATGAGTTGTATAAATACAGCTATGTCCTTTGGGCGAAGAAGGCTCCAGTTCCCTTCAATCACTGCCGCCATGAAGGTGTTGAAGCCTACATGCATGATGTCATCACCACTCCACAAAGTGAGATGAACAGGGGAGAGGATCATTGTCCTGGTTTAGAGAATCACTAATATTTAGTGAAATTTACTTCACAGGTACATTACAGTTGCCACTTTTGGCAGCTTTTGAGAAAAATATAGTCCCTAGCAAGAGGTCTTATTCTCCCAGCACAAAGTTTTGAAAAACCTTTCAGGTTGACAGAGTAGATGCTTTGGTACTGGAGCTGTCCTTTTGCAAGAAGAGGCATCAGGCTCTGATCATCCTGTTTGTTATTATTCACGAAACATTAACGAAACATAAGGTACATTAGTTCACAATTACAATTAATGTGTACACTGTTCAAATAAAGTGAAGAACAAGAACCAGCTTATCTTTGCAGGAATTTGATTTAAACATCAGGCATATTGGTGGCAAAAAGCCCATTAATGCTGATATGTTATCACAAGCTGTTTGTATGTGATCAGTTTTTACTAAAAAATGTGATTTGCATTTTTGTAAAATTTCGCTTAATTTAATATAATGCTTGCTATTATTTTCGGTCGTACTTCCATCAGCAAAACGATTTCTCTGTGTTTCTAGTTTTCTTTCTTCGATAGTTAGATCCTTTGGAAACCAGCATAATCATAAATTGCCTTCAGCATACACAAGTAGAGCATTGTATGGCAATTTCTGGAAGTGCTTTTAAGACAACATAAACGGGAAGTGTAAGCCTCGGTCATCTTATATTACATCAGGACCAGCGGTCGGCTGGGGATTATTATTTCACAGTCTAAATCTAGCCTATCCTATTATGGAAACTTGACTACTGTTGCATCAATGACGTTATTGCTCTTGCGGACCCGTGAAGGTCCGGGTTAGAATTGGTCCCATGCTTGTCGTAAGAGGCGACTAACGGGATCGGGTGATCAGACACGCGGACTTGGTTGACCCATGTCATCGGTTCCCAATTGCGTAGGACGATGCTCATGTTGTTGGATTGTGTGGTCCAGACTCGATTATTTACAGACCGCCGCCATAGAGCTGGAATATTGCTGAGTGCTGCGTTACAACAATCGATCAATCAATTGCTCTTGCGTGTAGTAATACTACCATTGTAACTGTACTGCCACTGAGTACTGATGCTGTCTTGTCTGCCGCCATTGGAATGACTTTGCAATAATTTGTATTCATTTGTAAACCTAGTATATTTATAATACAATAATTAGTTGTACAACATGTATTGTTTGTTGGTTTCACACCGAAGTATATTGCATATATATTTCTGGGTTGACATTGTCACTTAGCTTTCCCAACCATGACATAATGAAATCTGTGTATATAGATGTCTGATATTGTAACATTTGAGATTACATATGTTTCAGACTCAGGAAGTTTTCAATGGACAAAACACACGAGGGCATCTACATCGGCAAAGGGGCTGTGACCATGTTGAGAGATAGGAACCTATTATTTTGAGGACCAGTATGAAACATTCATGCTTTGGCATGTGTGTATCGACGGCTGAAGAACCAGTGGTTGATCTTATCTCGGTATATGGCATGAATGCCCAAATGGTTTAATAAAACTCTCATTAAATTCTATGTCCTGAGTAATAATCCAAACTGAACACACAGAGGCATCACGACATTTGTTAAATCTTGCCTCTCTCCATATCATCGGCAAAGAGGCGTTAACCTAACGAATCATCCCTACCATCGGCGACATGTGACCAAGTCAGGAGGTTGATCTGTGTGGAGCTCCACCATGTGATGAAGACGACACAGTTTCAGACAGTCCTACAAACTGTTCAACAATATATGTGGTGAAGGACTGATATTAGTTACGTGAACAAGTACAATACAGATCAATATTCAGGCCAAGTCACTAAAGTCTTGAATACCGTTTCGTGGGCACAGTGTTCTTAGACGCTGGAATTCGTCGTGCAGAGTTGCGTCCCTTGGGCGTGATTGTGGTTCAAATTGGCTTTGTTACTGATAGCTTCAAATAACTTAAATGAAATTTGCTAGGATGATAACTGACACGGGGACCGCCTCCCTGAAGGAACAGACTTGAGACAGTTCTGTACGGGGGATCTGAGATCAATATGATACACGTAAAGAAGGTACAACTTAAATGTAGCCACGCCCGTCATGTATGTCTGCGATGTTGATGTAGGAAAGCAGACAGATCAACGCCATCCCTGGTTGTGGGGTATTCCAGGTAGTAACATCGTTCATATACACGAACGTTATGCGATGTGTCCAGTTTTATGCAGCTTACAAATTAAGACCATATGCAACTCAAGGATGTCACTTACTGTTGCGTGACACTGGAGTGAAGCTCAGGGCTGATACCGCAAGGCTTGCACACATAACGTGAGAAATACTGCCCTAAACAAAATGTAGGCTGAGGGTTCATTGGCCTGATCATTTGCTGTCCTTGCTGGAACAAGGCCGACTCAAGGCCGACACTTGGTAAAAAATGGCAGCTATGCCAAGAATCGACTGTATGTACTAATAGTATCTTCCCATGTACCCGGCCGTAGTGTAAACAAACCCGTGAAGTACCCGGCCGTAGTGTAAACAAACCCGTGAAGTACCCGGATGTAGTGTATACAAAGCCGTGAAGTACCCGGATATAGTATATACAAAGCCGTGAAGTACCCGGATATAGTATATACATATCCGTGAAGTACCCGGATGTAGTGTCTACAAAGCCGTGAAGTACCCGGATGTAGTGTCTACAAAGCCGTGAAGTACCCGGATGTAGTGTATACAGCCGTGAAGTACCCGGATGTAGTGTATACACAACCGTGAAGTACCCGGATGTAGTGTACACAAACCTGTTCACGATGAGTGGTTGAGGCGTTTCTTCCTTGTCTGGACATCTATTGGTGTCGTAGCTCCATCAGGGGCTGATGCTGAGAGTGGGAGTGAAGAGGTTGCCCAATACTCTACTGTTACGAGTTACACAAAGCACAGTTAAATGTCAAGTTTTGCACAAACTGCACGTGCAGCACACTGTCTATTACACGTAGTGTCCGCAGTGAATGATGTTACTACTATTTGTTTAAATGTAATGACGTGTTTGTTCGTGTGGTTTCATGTAAATATAATGCAAGATATAAGAGTTGTTTTCTTTTGTGTATAATAACGAATAAACTCGACCTTTCATTTTATAAACAACTTCTGCTACAACTACCACAGCACTAGCACCACCACCACCACCACTACCTACTACCTACTACTACTACTACTACTACTACTACTACTACTTCTACTACTACCCGTGAAGGGGCGGGGGGTAGCCTAGTGGTTAAAGCGTTCGCTCGTCACGCCGAAGACCCGGGTTCGATTCCCCACATGGGTACATTGTGTGAAGCCCATTTCTTGTGTCCCCCGCCGTGATATTGGTGGAATATTGCTAAAAGCGGCGTAAAACCCCACTCACTCACTCACTCACTACTACCCATGAAGATCCGGGTCAGTAACCCATGCTTGTCGTACGAAGCGACTGACGGGATGTTAACAACAATCGATCAATCAATTGCTCTTGCGTGTAGTACTGCCATTGTAACTGTACTGCCACTGAGTACTGATGCTGTCTTGTCTGCCGCCGTTGGAATGACTTTGCAATAATTTGTATTCATTTGTAAACCTAGTATTTTTATGATACAGTAATTGGTTGTACAACATTTCTATATAGCTGGAATATTGTTGAGTGCGGCGTAAAACTAAACTCACTCACTACTACTACTACTACCACTACTACAAGCATAATGCGTACACTATACTCCTACTGCTAAACTGCAAATGCAAACCCACTTTCCGAGTGTATACTTTCTATAGGGTCAATACTCTATAGGGGCGCTCCTTATTAGAACCAGAAATGAGTAGCCACTCACTCACTCACTCGGCGTGACGATGACTCACTCACTCACTCCTCACTTCCTGTGACGCTTGGACAAACCCTATATTGGAACTTACACCAAGCAGTTAGCTGTCCCCAGACATCCAGTGCACACAGAAGACACGTACCATACAGTGTGTACCGATGACCCCCTGCTGACCCTATCGACTACTGGTGGAAACAGCTTACCAGTGAATAGGTTGTTCAAAGCAAAGGTGAATTATGACATATTAGTGCTTATGAAGTATTTGGCCGTATATCAAAATCTGAACTTTATCTTGATCAGGTACAAGCACGATTGTGAGTATAACATTTTTGGTGTAATTAAGTGACATGTCGTACATATATACCACTCACGGGCACGCACTCGCACACGCACTCGCACACCACATACAATAGTTCCTGAACAAAAGTGGGATATACTGAACAAATGTATTTTGTATATTTTTGTGGTGAAGAGCGCACAATTGCAATAGTATTAATGATCCGTTACGCGTTTGTTTTGTTAGGGAGTAACGCCAAGTATGTGATAACCTTATATGTATAACGCTATATATTATAACTATGTTATTATATCAATACAAACAGAACTGCTTTTCCAATACGAAATCCCAAACAGAGCGCAGCTGCTTTTCCAAGTTTACGATGCCGTTCCGTACACACGTAATGCTATATTTGTTCTTAAGTTGATTCGAAAAGCGCAGCGATAGGCTGTACATAGTTACCAGAGTGCTATGATCGCGGGTTCGAATCTCAGAATCTCCCAGTTTCTGCCTCTGCAGTTCACCTGTTCGTGGGTTTCACTGGCCAGCGTCTAACACAGTCACCCGACACTATATTCCCACAAAGCTGACACAACGTCATGTGCCGGGAATCATGTTCATAGTACCCTTCAACGTAACACTTTCAACAATTATTGTAAACATTTTACATCTAACACCACTCTCTGTGGACGTAGTTCGTTGACTGCCCTTCCAGGAATGCCCCATTTTACAATATATTAAGTCAACGAATCATCTGCCTCCCCCGCTGGTCACTGGTCGCTTTTATCTTTAATCATTCTCTTCAATTTCCTTGCGGGGACACGCTCAGCGATATTATTATCACAGTGCATACATTCCTGCTACCTTGTCTTACACAGTACCCAGAACGAGGGACACCGGACGTGACACTTTGACCTTCACGTGTATGTAACAGGCTCGCAGCTGTCGGGCGAGGGATCACACAGGTGGAATTATTTACTTGATTAATACCTGTGATCCGATTATATTCTCATACATTATATATTGGGATTTAATGGTTATGGAACAGGTTGTATTGATGCCAACCGAGTTGAGGGACCCATATAATAGTTTCTTCACAACGACCGCTTGAGAGGTCTAGTGGGAACAGCGTTCGCCTGGAGAAGTCCGAGACGGGGTCGATCCCAGGCCGCGCCATTCAAATAAATGTCATTCAAATGTTATGGTAATCGTTGTTGTCCTGTCTATCACTGGGCATTAAAAGCATATAGCAAGGACTGGATGAATGGGAGTCAGTATACTGAGTGGGGTAACGAATGTGAGTCAGTTTACTGTGTTTGAGTGGGGTAATGAATGTGAGTCAATATACTGTGTCTGAGTGGGGTAATGAATGTGAGTCAATATACTGTGTCAATATGAGTGGGGTAATGAATGTGAGTCAATATACTGTGTCTGAGTGGGGTAATGATGTGAGTCATATATGAATGGATGAAGTCAATATACTGTGTCTGAGTGGGGTAATGAATGTGAGTCAATATACTGTCTCTCACTGGGCATTAAAAGCAATATGACTGGATGAATGAGTCAGTACTGTGTCTGAGTGGGGTAATGAATGTGAGTCAATTTAATGTGTCTGAGTGGGAGTAATGAATGTGAGTCAATATACTGTGTCTGAGTGGTGGGGTATATGAGAATGTGAGTCAATATACTGTGTCTGAGTGAGGTGAATGGAGTCAAATGAATAATGAATGAGTCAATATACTGTGTCTGAGTGGGGTCAATATAACTGTGTCTGAGTGGGGTAATGAATGGAGAGTCAATATACTGTGTCCGTAAGTGAGGTCAATTATCTTGTTGAACAATGTCCGGTGGGGTTATTTCCGTGGGATAGGATAGGAATATTGAACCAGCGAAGGTCCGGACTAGTAAAAGTCCACAAAGAGACAGACAGACAGACAGATGTATGTGTGTAAGTGCAGTCATCTTGAACGCCCCACAGAGCCCCATTTTACCTCACCTTCCTTCACACTAATCATTTATTTGTACGTCGCATTTACCTTCATCTTGCCCAGATTGATGGTTATCCCCGTCGTCTACACTACTCTCGCTGTAATTAACACATACGTGGCGCGGCAGTATTTTAAAACATGTGTCTCTTTGTAATGGTACATACATACTTTCCTCCACATACAACGTGGCGCGGCAGTATTTTAAAACATGTGTGTCTTTGTAATGATACATTTTCACAAATGGTATGTATATGTTCGCACTAATGTAACAACTAAAAAATAATGTAAACAATAATGAAAGACTATTTCATTCAGAGCCCCATTAAATGTATTAACCCCAAACGTAATATCATCACTCTCACTGCTGGTTCATTAAGTACATGAGCCAACATCAATGGTTAAAAGAAAATATATAAAACGCCCCTCAACAACAACACTCCCTCTTCGTCTCACACATAGTGAAAAAGATCCCATGAACAACCAATCGATTGCACCCATTTTGCATTGCGGTCAGCCCAAGGAAAATGACCGCTCGCTGAACCAGATCGGCAAAGCCCGTGCCCCATGAAAAGACCCACGTGTTACCTAGGTCGAACTGGGTCGAACTGCTGGTTATTGTCTCCCGTGAGCTGGGAGCGAGGGAGGCAACACGAGCCACATGCTGAGCTGTTGTTTGTGCGGATGAGCCAGGAACATGCCGGGTGTGGCAAAGGTCTGCATTCCGGCGCTGCTGGTGCTGCACGTTGTTGAAAAGGTTGTTAGTAGAGACTGCACCGGTGGCGAAGTGAACGGCTGTACGGTAAATCTCCCACTTGGCCTGTACAAGAAGAGTTTTACACCCTCCTGCAACAGGCACGATGTGTGCTATATGTGTGTAGGTACTTCTATATACACTCTATGTATGTATGGGTGTGTGCGTGCGCGCGCATGTGTTTGTATGTTCATTGCGTGTGTCATGTAAGTAGGGCATTTGTGCGCGTGGTTTCCTTCGTTGATCATTGATAGTCACGCTATTCTTGCTTCCGTGTTTATTCGTTTCGAATTTGCCCCCTAGGTGGCGTGGCGCAGATGATTGGTCAAAACGGTGCTGGGTCTTCAGTTTATATTTCTGTGTCCAGTTAACGATAGCTAGTAACTCCGAAAACGTATT